CTAGCTCAGGGACTGGATGGCCATCTCTCAGATATTCTTCAGCTGCAATTTCTGCGTTGCAGGGGTTGGACTAGATGGCCCTTGGGGGTCCCTTCGAATTCTACATTCCTGTGATTCTACTGTCCTTGCCAGCATCTGTTCAAGTTGTGGAAGGAATTTGAAGAAGAGAAACAGCAGGTGGGGTTTTGCACTCTATCTTTTCCTGCTTTTGCACACTCAACCCCTTCCCTCCCCAAAACAAGGACAATGGGGAAATATCAGAGCTCAGTGGTAGCGCATGCAGAAGGCCCCAGCGTCTCTAGGTAGTGCTGGGAGAGACACTTGCCTGAAACCCTGGAATGCTGCTGCCAGTCTGTGCATACAATACTGAGCTAGATGGACTAATGATCTGACTCCCTTTGTTTCTAGTGCTTGGGCTTTAATATGCATGTCATATATAGCAAGGTCCCATGAGAAGAAATAAATAAGAGGCCATCCTATGTACAACAAATGGTGGCTAGAAGAAATGAAAAATAAGTTACATAAAGTGGACTCTTGAGATAAGGAAAGGACAGAGACTTTGACCCAATAAAGAGGACATGCCAAGCAGTTTCCTTACCATAAGGAGAGTCTTCAATGTTATCATAGAGTTTGCTGTAGCCTCTGACTTCAGCAAAGAAGATGGCAACCGTGGGGATACTGATCCATGGCATTGATTTGAGGGTGTATTTGATTTCACGCTGCACTTGATTCTGAACACAGGAGAAGACACTTTGTATAAAATAATATCCTGCACATTTACAGCATTTTAGAAAGTTTAGCACAAATATTATCTCAGTAGTCCTTTTAAGGCAGAGACATATTGTTATCTGCATACTGCAGGTGAGATGCTGAAGCAAAGAGAGGATTGTCTAATGTCACATGACAAAATGGCATTTGAAACTGAGATTTCCTAGTTTTTGCCAGTACAGTACGCTGCTTTGAGAAGCATGCATGTTTTAAAAACGTAAGTATCTATTCTTCCGCAAAGCAGAAAGATAAACAGGTCATGTTTCTTTGTGAAAAACCTTGTTAAAAGGACTCATCTCAGACAGATGAGGTTTACTAGACCTGGTAAGGAAAGGCAAAACCTACTTACAATCAGGTAACAATGCTTGTGGCCGAGCTAGCTGTGAGATTCCTAGGACCCCACCCCTTACTGTTGCCTGCATTCTGCTTTAGAGCAGGCATAGGCAAACTCGGCCCTCCAGATGCTTTGGGACTACAATTCCCATCATCCCCGACCACTGGTCCTGTTAGATAGGGATGATGGGAGTTGTAGTCCCAAAACATCTGGAGGGCCGAGTTTGCCTATGCCTGCTTTAGAGTTACTACCCTGGGGATCTATACTTATGGCAAAATAGCTGCGAGGCTCTGCTTGCTTCCTTTCCCCCACAAAACTACTTTAACCTCACCCAAAGAGCTTTCCTTTACTAGAAGAGCTACCATATTTTTCGCCCTATAGGACGCACTTTTTCCCCTCCAAAAATGAAGGGGAAATGTGCGTGCGTCCTATGGGGCGAATGCAGGCTTCAGGACTTCACGCCGGTCTCCCAAGGGTTGCGCAGAGCTGCCTGCATTCCCGGGCTTCGCGCAGCTCTGCGCAACCCTAGGGAGCCCGGCACGAAGTTGCGCCGGTCTCCCGAGGGTTGCGCAGAGCTGCCTGCAGTCCCGGGCTTTGTGTAGCTCTGCGCAACCCTAGGGAGCCCGGCGTGCAAGCCTGGGGAGACCGGCGCGACTTCCTGCCGAGCTCCCTAGGCTTGCGGATAGCAGGCTGTTCTGGGGGCTGGGGTGGGGAGAAGCTCGGGCTTCCCCCGCGCCTGGGGGGGATTTTTTTTTCTTTATTCCCCCCCCAAAAAGCTAGGTGCGCCCTATGGGGCAAAAAATACGGTAAATCCCAAGGTTCAAACCCCAGTATCTCTTAATTAAGGAGGATACCACATATCAAAGCAAGTGAAAGGCACCTGCAAGAGATTTAGAGAGCTGCTGCCATTCAGATAGAAACTTGTTAGGCTAGATCAGAGTTACATAATCCAGATGTTGCTGTACAACAATTCCAATTGCTGCTGGCCACTGGGAATGCTGACTGGGTGTTGAAATCTGACATCTGTGAAGCCCTAAATTAGGTACTAGATATACCAATAATCTTACTTGGAGTACGAGTACTTCATTTGTTCATACTCCAGTAATCCAGATTAGTTTACGTAAGCACTAGAGTCACCACCGCAATCATAAACAAGCAGGTTCAGAAAGAATAGGTGGAAAAGTCACCCTTATAGCTCTTTAAGCTCTATGAACTGAAAAGGCCACCTCACTACATTCCAGGACCCAATGAACATTTCCACAAAATAGTTGGAGAGTAACAACCTTAAGCAGCATTATTAGGCCTGAAATTGCAAATCACACTGAAAACACCCATAGTTTAAATCTAAACTGTTTGCATTTCAAAATGTTAGTGTTACAAGGATGTTCCAAAATGACCATATTGGTTAAAACATGACTGCATTTACTAGGGTGAAAACAAACAAACAAAAGCACCACACCATAGCTGTCAACTTACAGATTTGAAAATAAGGGACCAGCAGCCTTGAAAATAAGGGACCAGCAGCCAAAATAAGGGACCTGCAGCCTCACCTGTTCCAGGCACTCCAGTCTTCCTGTCCTCCTGCAGTCTGGTCAAACTCATGTTGGTAGCTTCGAGAACACTGTCCAACCAACTTTGTAACCAGAAGTTCAACTGAATAGAATCTGAATCACATGCACCACAAGGCCTATGCAGTCTCAACTTAAGATGGCTCCCCGGCCTGGCTTTGCACTGCAAAGTTTGCAGCAGCATGTGCAACAAAATGGCATCCAGCATTCAAAAAACCCCTCAGCTTGCATTAACTAGCCACACACAAGGCATGCAAGCTCCACCCCCCAGTCGTTCTTAGACTTCTTATTAGGTGAGCAACACAGCAAAGCAACACAATTGGAGCCTCCCTCCTCCCTGGCCAGCAGGGAGGGAGGGAGAGGAGCTGCTTCCTTTGAAATTTAAGGGACATCATTTAGGGACATCCATCAATAAGGGACAGCAGCGGGACTTGGCGCTGGAATAATGGACTGTCCCTTCAAATAAGGGACACTTGACCGCTATGCACCACACACAACAGAGGTCTGTCTGTGTACAGACATTCCAGAAAGGTACATACAAGACTCTCTGAAGCCTAGCCATAGACCACTGAAGAACTTAAAAAAGGGAAGAGCTGTGACACAGTGACTCACCTCCAAATACTGAGGATGTTTCTTTAGAGAGTGATCAAATATGAAGTAGTAGCTGAAACTGCCAATCAGCAAATAAAGGACAAGAGCACCCACATTTGTTATGACAATAAGGCTAATAAACTGTCGAAAAGGGTTATCTTCTGGCCATGCTGCTGGATAAACATAAGGCGTCAAAACGGAGTCATCTGCATATGCCAGGACAAGATCCATTGTTGTACCTGCATAAAATTGCCATGAATTAATGGAAGGGGATACATCAAACCTCAGTGAAGACACAAGAATGGTAACCTTGACAGGTAGGCTGTTCTAAAAATAGGCTACAATGCTGTGCAAATGAGTTCCCAAATGTTTAGTGAACTAATAATATACAAATAATCTAACAGAATGCCAGCATGGCTAATGAGCAGAGTCAATGAAGCAAAAAAGCTTTACTTTAAAAGTCTTATTCAAATAAAAATAATAAAGAACACATGTGGCAAAACAAGCATTAGTTAATGGGTGATGCAAGTGGGGAAAATTTGAAGAGCTTATTGGTAAGACAAACTTTTACATAGTTTTTAGATACATCGGAAGTAGGAAACCACATGGAGACATGGAAAAAAGAGGCTAGAAAAGCTGTACTAATTCCTCATTTTGGCCTTCACTCTGGAAGGTATCCTACCAACTTTCGGCGCTCTTAATAAACTATAGCTCCCATAATTATTTGGGGGAAAAGGCAGCTATGACTGTTTGAAGCAGGCTTCCTCAAACTCAGCCCTCCATGTTTTTGGCCTACAACTCCCATGATCCCTAGCTAGCAGGACCACTGGTCAGGGATGATGGGAACTCTAGTCTCAAAACATCTGGAAGGCTGAATTTGAGGACACCTGGGAAGTGACTTTATATTGTGATGCCCGTATGGTGCAGTGGTTAGTGTCAGACTAGGATCTGAAATCACCCATGAGACATCTGAAGGCAGCCCTGTTTAGGGAAGTTTTTAATGACTGATGTTTTAATGTATTTTTAATCTTTTGTTGGAAGCCATCCAGAGTGGCTGGGAAAACCCAGCCAGATGGGTGGGATATGAATAAATAAATAAATTATTATTATTATTATCAGGAGGGACGTTGGGCCAGCCACACACTCTCAGCCTAACCTAACCCTACAGGGCTGTTGCGAGGAGAAAATGGGGGGAAACATACATGCCACCTTGAGCTTCTCGGAGAAAAAGGTGGGATATACATGGAACAAATAACTAAAGCATGTTTTAAATGTATGGCCTGAGTAAGAGGCAGCTTTGAGGACAAGCTACAGAACCTGCCAATTTGTTCCTGCTGTTTCAAAAAGAGCTCCTACAATTAAAAAGCCACCATGACGCCGAAGCAGATTGAATTTTAAGCCCCGCAAGTAGCTGCATCCTACTTACCCAAAAGGGGCTTGCGCACAGGAGGAGGACCAGAAGGTGGACTAGTGGGGGGCTACACCCCGTTGCATTCTGGGAACCGCGCCCCCCTCGCTCGCTCGCCCGCCCGGCTTTTGTCCTTCGAGCCGAAGGAGGCCCCTCGCCCTCCACAGGTGTTTCCCCTGCCTGCCTGGTCCTGCGCCGCCTCCTTCCTCTTACTCCGCCAAAAGCGCCGCGCAGGTCGAAATCCAACGCTCTAGCGACGTGACGTGTGAGCAGGTAAGCGGTGGGCGTGGCCGCTCCGGATAGCGGCCAAATGGCTGAGGAGGGAAAGAGGGGGCGGGCAAAGAGAAGGAAGCGCTAGCCTGATGGGACGACAGCGCCCCAGGCCAGGAGTCGCGCGACGCTGGCCTGTTGTGTGACGACGCCCGCGCGTGGCTCAAGGTACGGCGTCGGATTGGACGGCTCTTCAGAGGGGGGCGGGGCAGTTGGAGGAAAGGAGGAGGCCGCGAGCGAATGAGCAGGCCGGGCGTCGAAAGGGGGCGGGGCTAGGCGTGTCGCGCGGTTTTGTTTTCCCGTTCCTGAGGTAAAAAAGTACCCTGTCAGAAGCTTCTCAAGGGGAGGATGGCTGAGGGGAAAGTTGGCCTAGTTGTTTTTTTTTACCTCAGGTGTGTCAGCCTCAGCAGCAGGTTGACGTGACCAGCGTTCAGTAATCAAGGGCGCGCACACCCACCCACCTATATTTATCTCACTTCATAAAAATTATTCACCACGTGATGGTTAAAAAACCCTCAAAAGCGTTTTTGTTTTTAAAAAAAGCTAAAACTATATAATTATATAGTGGTCTTCAGCTGGTTGAGATCCACCTCTGACTGCCCACTTTCACATGTTCACTATAGATTTTATGATGGAATAGTTTATTGTTTCAATCTTCATGGTCATATCAACCACAGGGGGAAAAATTATATAGAACCTATATACATATATATATATGTATTAAAATGTACCAAAAGTAATAATAATAACAGTACTCAAAATTGTTAACATACAAATGGTTAAAGGAAACTAATATATTAAAATCATCCCATTAAATACTTGCAGTTCACCATTTACCTCAATAAAATTTCTCAAATTTTGGGCAGCCGCTGCAAATTTCGCAGCTGTCCCAAATTACTGGTAAACAACAGATATGTGATACTCGCTTGATCACCATCTGGTATCATGCTTAACAAATTCAGAATAAACTCAGTCTTCTGTTTAGAATGAAAAGAGCAGTAAAATAAATAATAAAAGATCTGCTGCTTGAGCCACACATATGGTATAAGACTGGCTGTGTATGTACTATGCATTTGTTTTGTTTTTTTTTTTAAAAAAGTCATTTTTTCACAAAGAAAAAAAAGTTAAAATTTTTTACATAAACCATAAGTTACTTTATCAATTGACTTCCCATCCTCCCCTTTCATGGTTTCTGTATTTAGCCTCAAATGCTGTGTATTTTGCCTATACTATTCAATACATTCAATTTAACCTATTTATCTTAATAATTCACACTGTTGCTCATATTTCAAATGGGTGGGGTATAAATAAATATATTATTATTATTATTACTACTGTGCAAGGGAGGAGGATGGGGCAGAAACCTAGAAGACCTCTTTGCCTCCAGAGCAACTCCATCAAGTCCAGGGATCAAGACTTCGATGATATGCACACCATCTGGAAGTCAATCCTATCCTATTCTGAATAAAACTTTTTCAGGATTGCATTGCATTGCAATCTTTCCTAACCATGGCCACACACAGATTGACCCCACAGGAATGGGAAGAGATTCCTTCCAGACTTTTGGCATGATGCTGTTGCCCTAGTTCAGGGGTCTGCAACCTTTAAGACAAAAAGAGCCACTTGGACCCATTTCCGAAGGAAAAAAAACGGAGCCGCAAAACTCGTCATTATAAAAATAACTTTTTTGTCACTTTTTATTATTTCTTTGTTTGACCCCTCAGAATTACTCCTCCTCATAGAAATAAACGTTAAATTAACAAGTTACCTTTGTGTGTGTGTGTGTGTGTGTGTGTGTGTTCTTCACTCCCCTTCAAAACAGTGACCAGCGTACATGCCCCCTTTCAATGCAGTGACCAGCGTACATGGCCCTTACAATGTAGCAGGCGGGCGGGCGGGAAGGTGACGTCGGGACGGTGCGTGACTAACGTACGCACCGCCCCCATGCGACGTCACAGCCAGTACAGCGCCCGCCACAGTGGGGAGTGTCGGGGCGCACAATGCGCCTCCTCCCCTTGCTAGTATCCGCCCCGAAGCCGCGGCAAAGGTGTAAAAGAGCCACATGCGGCTCCGGAGCCGTGGGTTGCAGACCCCTGCCCTAGTTAGTAGCTGGTGTGCCCAGGAGAAAGCGGGTGTGTAGAGCAGCAATGGAGAACCTGTTGTCCCTTCAGATGTTACTGGACTACAACGCCTATAAGTCCAAGCCACCCAGCCAGCATAGCTAATGATCAGGAATGATTGGAGCTGTAGTGGCACAAAGTTTCCCTGCAGTGCTGTAGAACAACCCCATAGATTGTGATCAAGGGAGAAAGAGAGGCTGCATTTATCTGGGACCTTTTTTATTATTATTTCAGAGGGTTCCCTGTAGAAGCTGCAGCCTATTTAAATAAATTTATGCAAAAAGAAAAAAATACAATCCTATGCCCTTATATGCATTTAATTGCTCCTTCTGGAGTCGCTACCCTTGCCGTGAGGCATTCTTTGTTGTGGCTGAGGCTGTTGCAACCACTGCACTTGTCTGTGTGCAAAGATCACCAGTGTTGAAGCAATGATTCTTCAACACCAACTTCGTAGGACTGGTCAATGTTATGCGGATGCCTGATGATCGTCTTCCAAAGCAACTACTCTATTCTGAACTTAAAAATGGAAAGCGTAATTCTGGTGGTCAACAAAAGACGTTTAAAGACTGTCTCAAGGCAAATCTTAAACATTGTATAAACACTGACAACTAGGAAACACTGGCCTGTGAGCGCTCCAGTTGGAGAACAGCCTTTACCAAAGGTGTCATGGGCTTTGAAGACACTCGAACTCAGGACGCAAGGGAGAAACATGCTAAGAGGAAGGCAGGCTTGGCAAATCCACACCGTCATCAACTCCCGACTGGAAACCAATGTCCCCACTGTGGAAGGACGTGTGGATCCAGAATTGGCCTCCACAGTCACTTACGGACTCATTGTTAAAACCATGTTTATGGAAGACAATCTTACTCGGCTACGAGTGCTCGCCAAAGAAGAAGAAGAAGACACACTCCTTCCCCATTTTACCCCCTTTTGGGGAGGGGAATGGGTCTTCCAGTTTTTACTACTTCTGCATACTTTGGAGATACACAGGATTTAACACACACACACACACACACACACACACGGGGGTATATTTTTTGGGGGGCAAAGTTGTTCAGTTTGTTTGTCTTTTTTGGCCAAAGTTGTTGAACTTTTTTTTAGTTCTGCCCAAAGTTGATGATCTTTTTGGGCAAAATTGCAAAATAATAATAATAATCCGTTTTTGAGCTATTTTTGTGGGAAATCGGCAAAAACAGGACTTCTTTTTTTTGCTGATTTCCGCCTGGACACTGCTGCCGACTGCAGTATTTCAGATATGTCTGCAAAATCCCGGACGTATGGCAACCCTAACAAACAGATAAAATAAGAATGTGGCAAAGAGAGAAAGCAGCTGAAGAGTGAGCAGGCACATAGAAAAAGGGAGAGGTTGAAAGAAAGAAAAAAGCAATGTGGTGCTTCACTGGGGAATTTATAGCAACATTTTGCTCTGCTTATTCTCATTTATTTGTGTACATGAATGTAACAGGTATTGGGCCTACTTGTGAAGAAAGTGATTCTGGTGGAATTCTCACTATTTGGCAAATTTGGACTAGCAAGCTAGTCTGTTGCAATATTTACACCAAATGAAACCTTTCTTATTAAGTATAAAAGGAAATGCTTTGTCTTTATTCTACAAAAGTTCTGTTGTACTACACTTTTGAGGCACCAGAATAATTCTGCTGTATGTTACTTCCTTGTGCTAATGAGCCAAAGTGTGCCAAGCACAATGCCCCTTAAATGACATAACGATAATTGCTGAGGCTGTTGACGCAGCAAAATGTTGCCCATCTGTTATTCCCCATGACATCTAAAGCAATATCACTAAATAGCACAAAAACAGGGTCCGTGCTCTGTTTAGATAAGAGGTTGGGTCTGAATTGTGCCAGGCAAGCCTGTGCATGTTGATTCAGAAGAAAGGTCCAGTGATTGCAATGGGGCTTATATCCAGGTAAAACTGCATAGATCTACAGCGTTAATTGCCTTCTAGATTGTAGATAAGAAAAGAATTCATCGCCCAGTTAAGAAATCACTGTACTGCATGTGCTTCATGAATGCAAGGAGGCATACCCTGGAACAGTGACTCATGCAAAGTCTCAGAGTTTGCCAGCTTCAGAGCTAGATTTTTATTATTTTTTATAAAAGAACAGGTAATCTCTGAGGATTGGTATGTTGGGCTCTCAAGAACCTTTACTTACTTATTTCCTGTAGGGTGCTTGCAATTCACCTGTGGCACACTAGTATGCCCGAGTGCATAACTTTGACTTACCTTATTTAGGAAATGTTTTGTACCCTCCGATGAAAATAGGGACATCTCATTCCATAATGATATTTTTACTATTTACACCCCATATATCTTCCTGAGTTGCCCCAGTCACTCTGGGCAACTTCTAACATATATAAAAACATAATAAGACATTAAACATTTTTTTAAAAACCTTCCCTATACAGGATTGCCTTCAGATGGCTCGGGGGTCAGATAACTCCATACCCTCCAACATTTATCCAATGAAAATAAGACATCCGAAGGAAAAGTGGGACATTCCGGGATCAAATCAGAAACCAGGACAGCTTCTCTAAATCAGGGATGTCCATGGAAAATAGAGGTGTTTCGAGGGTCTGATGTTTTAAGATCTGTATTAATGATACTGCCATTTCCCCAACCATACTGAAGCTGCAATCACATTGGCATTTGCAGTTAAATTCACTTCTAAGCAGACCTGCAAAGGATTGCATCATAAATGCTTACAGTTGTTAGATACTAGTCTGGCAGCTTGGTCAAAGACATACCCACCAAATGTGTCTAATTACAATTCCAGTTTAGTTTAGGTTCAGTGATACAAAACTAGGTAAATTTTAGTTAAGAGATGCCCTTCAAGCAAGATATTCTAATGATTGTGTTTTGCATAACTGGTAAATTGACATCCAGTCTAGTCTGTAAGTTGCCTCTGTTTTATATAATTGTTGTTTTAAGGTAACCAGCTAGCAGGATCAACTAAATTTTGCAGCTTGTGACCCACAATTATGGATCCCCAATGAGTCACCCCTTCTTGGTTCCCAGAGCTCAAATGTGTGGTGCATGATCGGTTTCCTGAATTGTTCATGTTGACCCTTCCTCAGTTCATAATATGGATCCTGTTAAAAAATAATTGCTAGCCAGAGCTATAGGGGTAACAGTATATCTGAATATATGTAAACAACCCTCAAAATTGTTCCTTCTATTCACTTACTTGTTTATGAATGCATTTTTGAAAAAACACTGGTGCATTATTACAGGGACAGGAAATGGCAAAGAGTAGCAGAGGAGTTGGGACTGCCCAGTAATATCAAAGCTAGGAATAGCTTCCATCCTGTGGCTGTAATTTGACAGTCTGACACAGATTTCTGAGGTGCTGAGCTGTAGCTATTGCAAAACACACAGCCTAGCAACACAGGTAAGTACAAACACCATTGCACATTTCACCCATACAAAAGAATACTTAGAGAACTATGCTTCCTCCTTTCTCACTGTTCAGAGCTTAAATCAAGTTTTGCTCTCTGGATACTTTCTAGGAACCCAGAACCCCAATTCCCTGTTTCTGGGGAGGTGATGAGTTTGCTTTCAGATGTGCTAATCTGTTAATCCTCATGGAAATGCTCATGGAAGACTTCACAACTTTTCTCAAGGTATAGTGTTTTAAGACTGGTGCTTTAGTTTGCAATTGCTGTGCTTTTTTTATTATTATTACATATTTTCAAACCTGCATGTGAACTGCTCTGAAAGGAATTTGCCCTGAAAGGCATCTTAGAAATGCTGAAAATACACCAAAATAATAGCCAGCAGTCCACCTCTCTTAGTGTCTTCTCACTGTATCCTACCTAACAAACACACCAAAAAGGTGATGTGCAGAATCCATTGGGGAGTTCTCCCAGAATACAGTTAGTTTTATTTATTTCTGTGGCACATTTGCAGGAAGCATTTGCAGTGGCTTGTGCCCATGATTTCTTTCTCCAGGAGACTGGAAAGCGGTGATGAATTACAACTGGCTTTGAAGGACTTGTAAAATGGTTAATACAGGTTCATGAATGAGGATAGGTCTATAAAGATGATGATGATGATGATATTTTTGGCAATGGAAGGGTTAACCCACTGGCACCTGGATGCATTCTGTATATCTGCCTGGAAGGATCCTTCATGGTAAGTGACCAGGGGCGGATTTAGGTTTGATGAGGCCCTAAGCTACTGAAGGTAATGGGGCCCTTTATATATCTAGCTGTCCTTTATCAACAAATCGTTGCTGTTTTTTGTGTTGACTATATGCTATATGGCAATTTATGGACCTAATAGGTATCTAAAGCCATTTGCACATAAAAAAAGATGTATTTATCAAAGTAATTGTTGAACTGAAATACAATTAAGAGGAAGTATATTATAGTGAAATACAATTAAGAAGAAGTATATTAAGAGTGAAATAATTCCTAAGTTCTAACTTAAAATGATTTTTTCTTCATAACAAACTTAATAATGCAAACACATTGGCATTTGGCAATAACAAAAGTTCCTTTAGAAACACAATTTACAAAGACTCATAATTTTTGGGTGGCCCCCAAGAGAGTGGGGCCCTAAGCTATAGCTTGTTTAGCTTATATGTAAATCTGGCACTGTAAGTGACCAATGTTCTCTGTATCACACAGATTCAGAGACTTCACCCTTTGAAATTCACTTATAGAAAACCTTCAAAAGGTGAACATGAAAAATCCAAGTAAGTAATAAAATACTTTTCCTTTGCATTGAAAGTTATTGAATTGCTTTCCCACAACAAATTCTGAATGTTTTCGCATGTTGAACATTGCTTTGATATGATCAGACTAGGATTTTTTATAAAATGACTTTCCCCCCATCTGAAATGAATTGTTTTGCATAAATAAAGGTAAAGGTAAAGGGACCCCTGACCATTAGGTCCAGTCGTGGCCGACTCTGGGGTTGCGGCGCTCATCTCGCTTTATTGGCTGAGGGAGCCGGCGTACAGCTTTCGGGTCATGTGGCCAGCATGACTAAGCCGCTTCTGGCGAAGCAGAGCAGCACATGGAAACGCTGTTTACCTTCCCGCCGGAGCGGTACCTATTTATCTACTTGCACTATGACGTGCTTTCGAACTGCTAGGTTGGCAGGAGCAGGGACTGAGCAACAGGAGCTCACTCCGTCGCGGGGATTCGAACCACCAACCTTCTGATCAGCAAGTCCTAGGCTCTGTGGTTTAACCCACAGCGCCACCCACGCCCCTTTGCATAAATAATGTTCTGTAATGTGCCAGATTCACAAATGGTGCAGTCTGTGAGTGTACCCAGGGGTGTGCAGGGGGGGGCAAATGCCCCCCTAAATCAAGTAAATAAATAAAAATACTTAACTATCTGACCAATCGCATCAAGGATAGCTCGGTTCTCCCCCCCCACCAAACAAAACTCCTACCCCCCCCACATAAATCCAGGCTATACCCATGGTGCAGTCCCTACACAGAAGTTAAGCCTCACTGAATTCAATGGGACGTACTCAGAGGCAAGCAGTTGTTATCGTATGGCAGTCTAAGTGAGGCTGCTAAGTGAATAATTGTTGGTGGCAATAATGTGGAACAGCAAATAAGCTATTAGCATGATAAATAAGAGAATAGAAAATAAAGGATGATTCCCCACCCAATAAAAACACAGGACTCACCTAATGAACCCTGGCAGCAGAAGCCCTGTGCAAGAGCTTCCACTTGTGCAATGGGATGTCCCTCCTCTTTTCTCCCCACTGCCCCAAATTGGCTCGAGTGGGTGTGGGTGTGGAGAACGCCTAGAACAGCTTGCAGGGAAAATGGGGATCGTTCCATCTGGCAGGCTAATACGCTTGTGCAGACATAATGTTTGTAATAGCACTATACTGAATTCCACCCATAACCAGGAGGCTATAGATGGTATTCAACCAAATTTTATTCAAACCAGATCTATTAAAATGAATGGGACTAATTTAGTCATGTTTATTAATTTCAGTGGGCCTGATGTGAGTAAAATGTAATTGAATGCCAACCTATGCACACTGGGGTACATACAACTATTACAAGAATAAAAAAAACTTTTAATGTATCAATAAAAACCAAAGTATCTTGGAAAATAAGCAGTAACTGTCTAGATACTTTGTCATTCATAAAGATTACAAATACAAAACCTTGCACTTTTAACTGAAGCAGTTAATGAATGCTAATGTACAAGTATGGCTCAACTGCTGAATTATCCAATTAATTCTGAGATTATGGCTTTGCGTTTGTTAATAATGCTTGCTGACCAGGGCTGTGTTGATTAGTTCATCTCGCCCATTAATTGTGCAAGAGCTTTGCACAGAGAGGCACAAACAGTTTATTGTCTTTCACAGCTCTCTGGATCAAGGCCAGTCTTTTCCCAGGGTTCCCAGACAAGAGCCCCTGTCAGACATGGAGAACTTCACTCACTCGTTGTCATTAGACCCATTCTTGGCAAAAGCAGCAAGAGATACGTCTCCTGATGTGGTCAAAAGTGCTGTGAAGGACTTTGCCGATGACTACCTCAACAGGGCTGCTATTTTCAATAGCATGGATGAAATAGTGACTGAAGTGGCCCATGCAGCTTTGCCAAAACTAGTGAGTAATATACTGGCCACCTCTCTCCCACATCTCCTCCTTTCTGCCCCCTGTGCAAAAGGAAATAAATGCAGAACTTCTCTGATGGTACTGTGTAATGTATATGCTCTTTTACTGCTGGCTTAGATCCAAGAGGCACAGCAAGAATTGGACCAAGAGGAACTGCTGGATGGGATCATCTTGTGTGTTGTTGAGGAGGAAGCCAACGCCTTAGTTCAGACTGTCCTTGATGAATATCATTCTGAAATGTTTAAACTGCAAAAAGGAGAGGTAAGCCTAGAACTTGTGCTCTGAGAATTTAAAAAGTACCTTGTCGGCTCAGAGCAAAGGTCTGTGTATTCCACCATCCTGTTTCTTACCTTTGGGAAGCCAGAAACAGGATATGAAGACAACTGATGCCCTCCAGTTTGTCTCCAGCCGAAAGTTACATTGCATGGAACATGGATTGTCCATTTTGCTGTCATGGATAATAATCATTTATTGACCTGCATTAATTTAATCATAAGCGATTACAATTATATCATAACGGCCAAACTATTCTATCAGTTAAGCTAGCTGCGCTTAAGAGAAACCATGAAATAGACAACTGGAACTTTTTATATTTTTTGATGCTATTGAACTATTGGGGGGGGGTCTGTATTCTAGATTATATTTTATATATTTGTATACAACTTAGTACTTAAGACAAGCTGTTTACAAAACAACAATATGTATATATATTGCAAACAGTGACTTTGAGAAGCTATGTTGCAATAGAAAACAGAACTACCATACTGTCAGGGAACTGCCATCAGAGACCAGAGGAGAGGGAGGTCGCCCTAATTATGCAGGGGAGGGGACTAGCAAGGAGAGAGAGAGAGCTTCCGCTGGGGAAGGCAATCAAGGAGACACCAGGAAGAAAGGGGAGGCTGAGAGCACTTCGGAGGGAGGGCTCCGAGACTCTTCAAGTGAGATCAGCGAGGAGAACACCGGACCCCCGCTTGGCACGCCCACACTGCGCAGAAGGCTTCCGTGCAGAGAATCTAGGCGGAGACTGGGCGTCAAGGAATTTTTATGTTGGAAGAAGTTTAGAAAACGTCCACTAACGGATTCTGCCAGCGACTGAAGCAGCCGAGCCTAAGGGCTGCTCAGCCAGGGAAAGGCGCAACCACCCCAAGCAGCTTGGACCAGTTGGTGGCTTACACACAAGCAACCCCTATTCCCATTACACATACTATGCAATTAAAATAATAATGCCTCAAAAGACAAAAACATAGTAGCTCCCAATATTGCCAGCCAGCACAGCTGTAACATGGGAGTCCAAATATCTGGAGGGCACCAGCTTGGTGAAGGCTGCAGTATGGTATAGAGGTTAGACTAGGACCTATGAGATCCAGGTTCAAATCCCTACTCAGCCATCTAAGTCACTTGGTAACCTCAAGCCAGTTACGATCTCTCAGTTTAACCTACATCAAAGGAGCATTGTGAGAATAAAATGGGGACGAGGAAGAAATCCATTTACACAGCCTTAGGCACCCTGGAGGAAGGGTGAGATAATGTATCAGAAGGTAAAATAAAATAAGTTGGGGGAGGGCAGAAGTTTGGGTCCCTGTGACAAAGCCCAGGATGCTCAGACTTGCCATTCAAATGGGAAATTTAGCAAGTGACTCCTGGTGGTTTTCTGGATATGCACAGTCCCCTTCACCTGCCATTGAGCTTTTTCTCCTTCCACTGCCATTTTCTAATTTTATATTAATTGCCATTAATAAAATGAACTTCATTACTTCTAATCATCCCACAAGAGCAGCGAGGGTTGCACGCTCCCTCCACTTGATGCACTGAAATGAGTTTGCCTCTCTCACCACCACTCTTCACTGTCTGTTCAGTGCCATTTCTCTTTGAGATTCATCTCACTATTAAGGCACATCATTCAGTCTGGACTCTGTCCTTCACATTCTAATTACTTGGAGAAAGAAATAAAAAAGAAAGAAAAGATTGCTGTTATTGTCAGGCACAATGCAGAGACCTGTCTTCATTTATTTGCATATCAGGCAGGAGCACGTCAACCTCCCCTCTTCTGCCAAGGTAATCTCCACAAACAAGCATCTCTGCATGTACGTCAGCAAGGAGCTACACAAAATCACAATGCACTCTTCCTTATTAGAAACCAAATCCATTACAATGCATGCCAAGTTCCCTACAACACGACAGGGTGTAATCTATAAATCATATGCCACAAGTATTTATGCCGCCTGTCAGTTCTTATCCTATAGTACCCAAGCAAAGCATTTTTCCTTTTACTGATTCTCAGCATCAAAGTGGCATTTTAAGACCTCTTTTGAAAAACAACAGCAACCACGAAGCATATCAAAACTCACCCTTTGGCCAGGCAGAGGTGTGAAGGTGAGGCTTATTTCATAGCCACCCTACTTGAGACATGAACATGGCATCAGGAAAACTCTGATTTTGTACTGGAATACATTATTATTAACAAAGGGCTTATCCATACTTTCCAGGCACAGGCCAGTGCTTTCCCCATGAAAACAGGCTCTTTAAAGCTGAATTGGAGCAAACACCAATTTGGATTTTCTACAGATTGCTGTTTGCCTTGATTGAGCTTTAAAGAGCGGGTTTTTGTGGAGACAACTCCAGAGCAAAAATAAAGGGCAATTGGACATGGAGCTTTAAATCACGGACAGTACCTGGAAAGAGTGGAGGAAAGGTAAGTGTGGATAAGCCTTATCTATAAAATCTATATATAAAGGTAAAGGTACCCCTGCCCGTACAGGCCAGTCTTGACAGACTCTAGGGTTGAGCGCCCATCTCACTTAAGAGGCCGGGGGCCAGCGCTGTCCGGAGACACTTCCGGGTCACGTGGCCAGCGTGACATCGCTGCTCTGGCGAGCCAGAGCCGCACACGGAAACGCCGTTTACCTTCCCGCTAGTAAGCGGTCCCTATTTATCTACTTGCACCTGGGGGTGCTTTCGAACTGCTAGGTTGGCAGTGTTTCCTAAAAGAAAATACTTCTTCATGAGCTGCTTAATGAATTTGCTACCACATAGCTTAGATTGGGGGTGGGGAACTCTCCAGAGGTTGCTGGTTTCTAACTCCCAACATTCCCTACCAGCATGACTATTTTTGAGTGATTATGAGAATTCCAGTTCAACCAAATTTGGAAGGCCAGAGTTCCCCCACCCTTGGCTTAGGTGATGTTCAAAAGGAGTTCAGGCTGGTTTTCTCACCCCAAGTGTCTTACTAACTATCGTCGAGGGCTTGAATACTGATATGAAATCTAAAGACTTAGTGATCATATCGCCGATGGTTGTTCAGTTATCCACAATGCAAACAAGGAAAGATTTCAAGGACTGTAGATTTATGCTACAAGAATGACTAGTGTCTAGCCCTTGCTGAGAAAACACACAACTTGAAAGCAATAAAAGGAAAACCAGACAAATTCAATGCAGTGTGGGGGCCATTTATTTCATCCACTAACAAAATTGAACTTAAAAACAGACTTTCAAGGGCATCTTTGCAGGTCTGGATGTCATGAGCAGGACAGACTGAATATACCTACTCTGGACACAAGATCTTCTTATGAACTGAATAATTTATAAGCAGCCCCCGAGACGTGTTTGGTATATTTGGATTCTCTGTATGGATAGATGAGAATAGTTTTGTTATGTATTACCTGATATTTGCTTTTGGTGGTGGTGGTGGTTGAGTCCTGTTATGTGATGTTATATCTGTTATTCAAATAGCCAAGAAAAAATATTGGAAGAAAAAAGAGTTAAGGTAAATTGATGAAATATAATAAGTCTTCCAATGAATATTAGTCATGATAGCTAGATGGACTAGCCATGTTCAGAAGTACTTGTTTGGGTGCAAATAACAGGGAAAAGTTGTTGCCCTCATACCTTTCTTGGAGGTTTCCTAGAGGCATGTCGTTGGTCAGACTGGGAAACAAAGTGCTGGATAAGAAAGGCTTTTGATCTGATCAGGGGGACTGTACTTGTGTTATTACAAGTTAACAATTTAGTACAATTGACTTCACCCGAATATTTTGCTCTTTTGGAATATGTTAGGAAGGTTGTGGCAAAAATATAAGGGCAAGTAAAAGCAAGAAACACAGCAGCAGCAGTATAAACAGGTAGGAATAAAATAATTAGGAAGTTAAGTACTGAAGAAGGGGGTATCCTGACTCTTGAAACTTAACACAGGTTTTTTTTGTTGACTTCTTAGACTGCAACAGAAATTGCTTGAGATACCTCAAACTTCTTCACAAAACTGGAAGGTCTAATAAAACTTGGTGTTTTTTTTTAAAGAAAGAAGAGAAATCACACTTTGTGACATTTTTCAAGTTCAGTGCTGCTTGGCACAATCCTGATTAAGGAAATCAGCAGTGCAGCCTCCAGAGACAATATTTCTCTGACCCTAAGGTCACCATACTTGAGGACAAAAAAGCTTTGGGGGATGGATAAAATATGAGGCTGCTGAATTAAAGCACATTAACAATTTGACCCTCCACTATATGATCTGCCATGGATCATTATCTCTTAAAATGTCAGAATATTTATACACTTTTAGATTGTCCATGAGAGGTAAGCCGAATCATTCCAAATCGGTCATGCACTTGCTCTCACTTGAAGAAATTGGTTGTAATGCAGCAAGGTAAGTATGTGTAACCATCACAGTTAAATGCCATGTCACAGTTCAGTGTCTCATTAATACTAAAATACTTGTTATTCCCACTGATCTTGGTTGGATTTAGAGGCATCCAGTTTTTGCTGGATTGAACCTCTTATCTGAACTTTAGCTAGACACTGCTGCCACTCCCACAGGAGAATTGGTTTACCCCTTAAGCAGGCTATGCTGCATGTAGAGTTTGGGAATATATGTTCTTTCATTAATTCTCAGGAAGCAGGTGTATTTATTTAATAATAAGATTTCTTGCCCACATTTCACTGTAAGGTCCCAGGGCAGATTACAACAATATCATATTCAAGTATAAAAAAGATAAAACTGTTGCAAGAATAAAAACATATTTCATTATTGCTCTTTTTAAAAAGAGGGGGGGAAAGCTTGTGAAAGCATTGAAACCAGGCTGGGTAGACTAAGCTTGCTTTGTTTGCACACCTATAAGGGCAGCCACTGGAACTCTCTCCTTGAGCACAATGAGAAACCTTACGAAGCAGTTGCTGAAGAAATGTTTTCTTTTTCTTTTAGAAATGTAATGGGGGTGTCTGTTTCTGTCTCCTCCCCTCTCAGGTTGCTGTGCTTGCCGCTAAACAACTTATTGATATATTTCTCCTGGAGCGTGTGATAGGGAAGATGAGTTTGCAGGGCCCAAGGTTTTCTGGGAAGGAGCACTCAAGCGCGATTTTAGATAGTGAGTATTGAACGGCTGGGGAGGGAGGTGAATGCCTGTAACTTTGGGGAAAGCCATAATATCTTGGATTTATTTAACACTGGGGGATCTAAGAAGCCTTTTGCAAACACTAAAGGGCTGGCGGAGATGTGAGCTTTGATTACATTTCCAAGGAAGGTTACCGTGGTATGAACAATGCTTGTCGGGCTTAAATATGACAGATACTAGGCATACCTACACTGCAGATTTAAAGTACCCTTAATATTCAGATGGTCAGGTGCATCTGCCACGAAGTGCAGGAGTCAGCCTTTGCATGTTACAACAAATGAGTAGTAGCATGGCAAAAGTGGAATCCTGTAGGCAGCAGCTTCTGCATGCCACTCACTGGCCATGATCTGGGAGTCAGACGGAACTGAACAGTCAAATAGACCCTGCATGCTCAGACATTTTTCCTAGAACAAAACTTTTTTGGGGTGTGTGTGTATTTTTTTTAATATCTAAAATATCTGCAATATATTCAGTAAACAGAATTTTGGCAAGGCCAGTAAAAATTCTCAAAGAGGCTCTACACATTCATAAATTGTTATAGCTCACTGGCAGCCAGTGCAATGCTTTCAGGTCCGGTGGTAACACATAGTCACATTTGGGCTGCTCCCCTTACCAACGAAGCAGTTGCATTCTGCATGAACTGCAGCCTCCGGACCATCTTCAAGGGCAGCCCTACATAGTGCATCACAGTAGACCAAACAGGAAGTCATCAGAGCATGGACAACTGGCAGGAACACCTACCCCTAGTGCTACACTCATACACAGTGCTATTTTTCTAAAAAAAAGGAAGTGCTGGAACTCACCATGAACACATCCTTTGTTCTCTTATAATGGCAATGGCATCCACCCAAGAGGTGCCAGAACTGAGTTCTGGTGAGTTCTGGTTGAAAAAAAAGCCCTGCCCATACGGCTGTATTGTCCTACCAACATTTCTCAAGTGGGTATCAATTATCCCTCAATAAAATCCTTGCACACAAGTTTTATGGGGATATAGCCACATTGCTGTTATGGCTGATTTTTCTAGGGGCAGGAAGGATACAGTGGTGGGGGGAAAGCTAGATCAGGACCTGTTACAGCAGGGCAGGGGCTTGTTGGAATCCTGATTAGAATTGTTTTCCCCACAACTGTTATTTGCATTGGGAGGAAAGTGCCCATTGGCACCTCACATTGCAAAAACAGGCACTCAGGTGAGGAGGGATTCCAACTGGGAAGATGGCAAGGAGAAAGAGTTAAAGCTGTTTTTCCCCCCATGCCAGAGTCCAAGCCTGGCTCCTCTCTGCCCCCTGCTATTTCAGGTTTGTTTGAATTGCCTTTTGAATTGTGTATTACTAGTAACATTGTTACTGTGCTGTGTATTTGTGTGTTTTTCTATTGTAAACTGCCCTCTGATCCTCGGATGAAGAGCGGTATAGATATTTAATTAATAAATAATAATAAATATAAAAAAGAGAGAATTCCAAGCTCACCAGGGCAAACTGCATGACAAATGCCATGTCCAGTTTGGCCCTCGATCTTCCTTGCCTACCTTTTTCTTTCTAGATTTTATGTTCGATATTCTCCTTAAGCAGTTATTTAGCATTCAGCAGCAGCAGCGAGTTACCTCTGAAAACATCCCCCTGGGAGATTTCCATCTGAAAGCTTTTACCGAGGTGGTAAGTAGGCTCATATTTTAAAATGTTGATTGTTTTGGCTGCCTTTTATCTTTCCTGTACTGCAGTGTCCAGAGGAGCTTCACCCACCCTGCCTCCACCTCTACCAGAGCAGGCTCAGAGCTAATTAAGGGGAAAGGGTCGGGTGTAACACACACACACACACACACACACACACAGAGAGAGAGAGAGAGAGAGAGAGAGAAAGAGAGAGGGAGAGAAAGAGAGAGAGAGAGAGGGAGAGAGAGATTAGTCGAGACCTACTTCATCATCAGTAAGAGCTGTTCGACAGTGGAATTTGCTGCCAAGGAGTGTGGTGGAGTCTCCGTCTTTGGAGGTCTTTAAGCAGAGGCTTGACAACCATATGTCAGGAGTGCTCTGATGGTGTTTCCTGCTTTGCAGGGGGTTGGACTCGATGGCCCTTGTGGTCTCTTCCAACTCTATGATTCTATGATCATGGGCTGCTGGATTCCCCCTCCTTCGCTAATCATAGATTATTGCTCCTCCTAATATCTCTTTCCCTATTAAATATTCTGTTTAACCTTCACAGTGCTGAAGTTAAGTCAAATACTCCAGTGCATTAGTTGTTCTAAGTGCCTCAATGCAGCAATTGCCCTAAGTCAGGGGTCTGCAACCCGCGGCTCCGGAACCGCATGTGGCTCTTTTACACCTTTGCCGCGGCTCCGGGGCGGATACTAGTGAGGGGAGGAGGCGCATTGTGCACCCCGACACTCCCCACTGTGGCGGGCACTGTACTGGCTGTGACGTCGCATGGGGCGGTGCGTACGTTAGTCACGCACCGTCCCAACGTCACCTTCCTGCCTGCCCGCCCGCTATATTGTAAGGGGCATGTACGCTGGTCACTGCATTGAAAGGGGGCATGTACGCTGGTCACTGTTTTGAAGGGGAGTGAAGAACACACACACACAAAAAGGTAACTTGTTAATTTAAAGTTTATTTCTATGAGGAGGAGTAATTCTGAGGGGTCAAACAAAGAAATAATAAAAAAGTGACAAAAAAGTTATTTTTATAATGACGAGTTTTGCGGCTCCCAGTTTTTTTTCTTCGGAAACGGGTCCAAGTGGCTCTTTTTGTCTTAAAGGTTGCAGACCCCTGCCCTAAGTACATGGTGGTAGTGGGCTCCTTACACTCACAGAACATCAGCTTTGCATTCACAGTATCTGAGGTGGAGGATAAATCGAGGTCTTTGCCTTCCACACACATAGGCTGGTACAGAATGCTACTGTATGTATCGTAAGTAAAACTATAATTAAAAAAGGCTTCCTCAAGGCAAGTGAGGAAATCCCATTTAAGTATGTGAAATTTACTTCCAAATGAATATGTAGATCTTTCTCAATACTTCCTACCTGATCATTTTTAACTGGAGATGGAACAGGGCACCATATTATGAAAGATTACCAAAGTCTGCCCCTGCTGTGGGAAACTTGCACGCAAGATTTGAGAGCAACAGAACTCTCCCAACTTCTGTCCCCAGCAGCTGTTTTACAGAGACATACAGTACTGCCTTCAACAGTGGAGACAGATCATAGCCTTATCCTCCAAGAATTTGTCTAATCCTCTTTAAAAGCTATCCGAGTTGGTGGTCATCACTACAGCTTGTGGGAGCAAATTCCAGTTTAACTAGGCATGGTGTGAAGAAGTATTTTCTTTTGCCTGTCCTGAAATATCCTATCAGCCTTAGGGTGCTTAAGCTAAAATGGGCTCCCCCTCTGCACTGCAAACCTAATTCTTTGTGTCCAGTTGTCACTGAATGCATAGACAACTGTGTTCCTTCAGTTGTTCCAACAACCTTTTAAATATAATCTGTTCGCAACATGTTCTGACAGTCTGGTTGCAGATCGTAACAGTCTTGTAATGCAGAAATCTAGAACAACTGGGTTTAGCTTATTTTTACAGAATAGTTTTACAGAATAGATAGTTACAGAATAACTGTTATCAGATAGTTCCTAGGAGTTAGAGCATACATTTTCAGGCTTCCCACCCCTGAATTATTATTCTTTGTTTCCTTGCTGTATTAAACACAACTTCCATTATCCTCAGTAGATTCTTGCTTACCTTTAGTCACACATCAAACGTAGAGTTACCAGAAGGTGAATGGTGCAATTATTCTGGACCAAAGGCTGGTATATGATTTATTTATAAGCCTTATGAAAGTCGTAAAGTACCATTCTTGAGTCCTGAATAGCAAAATCCTATAGCCACAGGAAGCATGCCTGTCCTGATACGTCCTTGAATGACCTTTCAAATGCCCATTGCCTCTGGAGGCGCTTTGCCCTCCTAATTTGCCGGAAGTGCTGTTTTTCAAGAAGTCTTTGTTATTTACCTTTGTACATTCTGCAGATCAGATGGACTACTGACTCTTAAGGGTTGTATATCATTATTAGAGGGGAAAACATTGTGATGTTGAAATCATTGCAAACCAGAGATTTGTAAACCAAATTTTCCAGCAGATGGCAGCAAAGTAAGCAAGTTTTAAACTCTACTTTGTACTGCAAGGAGCCTTAAAAATAGATCTTAAAATGTGAAAGATTGGCAGGGCACATGGTTTGTGTTTCTTCAGGCTCTGGCACATTCTTTTGACTCTAATCTGATGGGATATTGCTTTGTCTCAAATTACTCATGTGGCTGCCACTTCTTTTATTATGAAAACAGCAATGTGGTTCACATCAAATCAGATCTCTCATTTCATATTATTTTTTTTTAAAAAAAAACAGAGCATGAAGCCTTTGTGCTGTAACCTAACTTGTGTAAAGGCCTCAATTTAAAGAAAGTGTTAAGCTTGTTTCTTTCCCTGGATCAGCTCCCGCCCTCACTTTTTCCTTTTCATCTAAATTTTGGGACACCTCTCTTGTGTATTTCAGGCTTTAGATGTTATCTTGACAGAGCTGAATAAAGTGGTGGACGCGGACATGGAAGATCTGCTGGAATATGAAAAGAAAGCTCAGGTAGAAAGGAATCTGGGGCTGGGGGGGTAGTTTTATTACAAGCATTTTGGGGGACAGACAACTATATCCATATTAATGCTCAATGCATAAACAACAGAATGTAAGCACTAGAATTCTCTTAAATCAGATCATAGGTCCATTGTGTCTAGCATCCATTTTCTTCAGTGGCCAGCCAGATTCTTCTGGGAAGAACATAAGCAGACCATGAGTGCAACAACTCTATTTTGCCATTTGCCCCCCCACCCCTGGCAATTGCAGTTTTAAGGTAGAATGTCTCTGATCCTAAAGGTTCCATTTAGCTATCATGGTCAATACCCTTTAATAGACTTGTAAATACATTTGTCTAATCATTTGCTGCCCATCACTACATCTTGTGGCAGTCACTGCAAATCCCATTAGTTATTTCCATTAGTAACTAGTTAATTTTGCATTATGTGAAGGACTTTTCTTCATGTGGTGTTTTGCAGATTTTGCATTTAATTAGTTACATGTATTTCCCCATCCCCCGTAGAGGTATGTGATTCCATCTTAAGCCTCCTAAGCTCATGGCCATCACCACAAATTGTGGCAGGAAGCTTCATAAAATTAACTTATGTGTCCTGCTCTTTGCTGTTCATATATGTGGGTGGAGTACAAGTGTCTGTCATAGACCTGGCGCTGTTTAATCCCCTTGACTGTAGATACCAACTGTTTCCAGAGTCTCATTTCAGGAGCTTATCATGCCAAAGAGTCCAGCCCCTGACATCTGATTGACTTGGGGCATTTGAGAGGTAGGACTACCCTTGATGAAGAAGCTTCACAGTGCACAGAGAGGCTGGATTGCCTGTGCAAGCCCCAGAATGTCACTCCCCACCATGGTATCTGAGTACCTGGGCTGCTTATTGGAAGCTGCCTGGATTATCTCAATATGATTGAGTTAAGGACATTCAACTCTTATTTTCTAAGTGTGTGCTTACCATTGTTCCCTTGCACCAGCAAAGGGCAGAAGTCAAGACTCCTTATACCTGACCCATCCGCTAACTCAGGGGCTCCATACGGCCTGCCCAATCACAGTGGGGCAGTGTTAGAATTGTTATTCCTTTCTGTGCCTGAATAGCCCTTTGAGGCCTGAGCATAATCTGAGGTGGCTTTCTGGGTTATCAATGCCTGCTAGCCAAAATAGCTGTGTTCCACCTCCACTCTCAGAGGCAGTATGCCTCTGAACACCAGTTGGTGGGTATCACAGGTGGGTGGAATGCCATTGTTCTCAGGTTGTGCTTGTGGGCTTCCCAAAGGCATCCAGTTGGCTGTGAGAACAGGATGCTAGATTAGACGGACCATTGGACTGATCCAGAAGGTCTCATGTTCTTACATCAGCTTTGGGCTATTCATTTTTTTAAAGCCCTGTACTAAGTATGCCAAGTTTAATGCAGATGCCCTCTTCTGCAGATGACTGGAGGCATTTTGTTCTACTGCATCTAGTCCAATGCACCTATTAAAACCAGGATTTGCACTATTAACAGAATATCTCTCCCTTAACAAGAATGATATTCTGCTCTCATAGAGGAACTTGCTACATAATTGACTGAGGTACATGCTTAACTCATTCTGTATGATATATTTCATTTAAAGGGTATTTAACAGAAACAGAAGAGAAGAAAAGAGCACCTGAATAATGTAAGGCTTTTTTATATGCTTATGTTTCATTTCAGGGTAATGTATGTGAGTGTAACACTACTTTATATTTATATTGATTCCCCATGTGATGCAATAACAAACAGGAAATGAGCATATCTGAACACAAAGTTTTATTAAGAATAAACCATGTTTAAATTATTTGGCTGAATGTATAACAAAAAGGGACAGAGTTTGAATTGGGATGGGGGTGGGGGAGGGAAGACACCCCAGCTGTCCAAAGCTCTTTTGTGAGCTATTTACTGAGTTCATTGATAACATGTGAACATAATTAAAGGGATAGGATCTCAGGCTGAAACACTAGAAGCTGTTATCAATCCTTGCCTCTTTAAATGTCATGGCTTCTCCAGGAATCCTGGGAATTGCAGTTCGATGAGGTGTTGAGAATTCTCTCCTAGAGATCCTTACACACCTCACAAAAAATTTAACTCACAGGTTTCTGTTTTAAACCAATGTAAATTTGTTATGTCCACACTGTATCAAAACCTCTGATGAACTTGGTGGTAGGTTGCACCACAGACATTTCTCTTGATGGATTTGTTTCTATGGTAAAATGCTATACCTGAATGTTCTCCAGCATATCCATAGAACCCCCACATTCAAAACAAGGTTTCCAAAAGCAAGTTGCCTGTTGTCTCGTCTTAAAGCTATTTGAACAAATATATCAAGAGAAAGAAGAGTGGCCAGAACTCAAAAAAAGAAGAAATGCTTTTTCATATGACCAAAAGCTTGCTCATTTAAACTGGATGTGTGAGTGGCAATGATGGCAGCTGCAACAAAAACTGGGATGGCTTCCCACATGCCAACCACTCTATGGTGACATTTTCAAGGTACCTGTAGATTGCCCCCATCTATTGATTCTCTTAGCCCTGCTGTGTGAATGGAGAACTTCAATTGGATGTTCTATGAAGAAATTAGCAATGGTTAATTTCTCTTGTGCATGCAAGACTCACAGCAACCACATAAAAAAGAAAATGAACAAACAAATGGCTAGAGCCTGAAGTAAATGACAATGATGGAGGGCCTCCATAATAGGAGCCTACAGGGAGCAATTCATAGATCTCAGGGCACCAATTCCATGACTACCTACAGCCCATTTTCCTTTTCTTCCAAGATCAAGTAGTGATCAAAGAGGCAAAATACTTTCCTCCAAAATTTAAACAGGAAGAGAGAGTGGGGATTGTCCTAAAAATGAAGACAAAGAGGGAGAAACACAGTTGACTATTTGCTACGCATCATGTTGGACACATCCCTGATGTTTAGAAGAGTGCAGTGCCCTGTTAAATTTTTCCAGCTTTCTTTAGTATTAAGACCATTAAAAGCAGGCCAACAACTCCAGTGCAGCAACGGACAAAGTGTTGTCGTAGATGGCGATGACTGTTGTCAGTGCAGGTCGCAGGTTTAGGGTTGCATGCGCGTATCCTACAGGGACTTAGAAGGGTTAAAGTAAATTACAGTACTTTAAGTAGAAGCTGAAGATTAATTATTATGTTGGAATCGGTTTACAGAGAATACACCATAACGATAGCTGGGTAACAATGAGGGGAAGCAGCCTGGCTTGAGGTCCACTTGATGAGCTGGTTGCTATAGAGAGAAGAAGAAGAAGAGAGAGAACTCATGAGCCACATGTTAAAGAGGCAGAGCCTACATTTCTTGTACTGGTTTTGATTTTCTTAGTAGCCCCGGGATATAGCTAGTGAGATCTTGACGGTACAATAAATTATACTGTGGCTGAAAATATATAATAAATTAAACCAGTTAGGTTAATTGATTTAAAATACTTTTAAACAAGGACCTCCCAATGAATCAGGGGACAATTTTAAGAGGTTTTTTTAAAAAAAATATGAAGGCTTATAAAAACTAGAGATAGCACTGCACCTTCAGAGGCATTCTCCCTGTCCTCTTACAGTGAGAGAATGCTTCCTCTAAGATGATGCCTGCTACAATATACCAGGCCTATCTAAAAATCAAAGACAGTGTGCTTCAGAAATACAGCTTTCCCCATGTGCAGTTTGTTCAATCAATCAATCAATCAATCAATCAGTCAACTAAAACTCCTATGATTAATCAACTAAACTGGCCCGGACTGACTCTCCATACATATTCATATAGGAAGGAGTGACATGTGGTCCATAAAGTATGTCACAAATTTTAGGGGGAGGAGGGTAAGTAGGGAAGGTCAGTGGTCAGCAACAGAGCACATACTTTTCATGGAGAAGGCTTTCATTTTAACCACTGAGGAGCCCAGTGCTATTTGTCTAGAAAACAAGGTGCTGGAACACACCATGAATGCCTCCCTTGCTGTCTTAGAATGGCAATAGCACCCACCTGAGAGGGCTGGAACTGAGTTCTGGTGAGCTCTGGCCGAAAAAAAGCCCTGGAGGAGCCACTGCTGAAGTAGACTGTACTGAATAGATGGACTAATGGTCTGTAGCATGAAGGCTGTTCATATGTTCACGACAAAGTTACAACAGCCAGAATTGTAAAATATTTCAAAGGAAATGGATGTCAGTTTTTGTAAGTGGGCAGTTCCTGGCATTAAAGGGAGGCCTTGCTTCCAAACCTTCCTAAGAGAATAACTTGTGGAATGCCTGGATACATCACCTCGGCAGCTCTTGCCGTCTTCCTGCAAGGTCCCTGTTACGCAGCTGCATAGAGGCCCATCCATCTGGCTTGTACATATCTGTTCACAGCCTCCATTGTCTTCACACCAGTCTAAACCTAAAACACAAGATGTAAAAAATGAAAGTGGAATATTTCCAATAAGGAGGAATGGTCTGGGTCACAGTGACACTGTGAAGTTACCACTGCTTCACATTAAAACTAATTTTTACACAGTGATGCTGGTTTATGGCTAGTCAGGCTCTGAACCCTTCCATCTTCAATGCTCAAAACTATTTTTCCCTGCTGCCTTGGGGACCAGAGAGTTTATTAACAAAGGCAGGATTCTGTCTTTGCAACATGCTGAATGCCACCACTGTAGCCATGGAGTAAAGTGAACCCATCATTCTTCAGGAAATTGAAGAAATGCCAGACTTACGCTTCCTCCTGATTGGCCCCACAGAGATGATCTGCTCATTGAGCTCTTTGGTATAGTCATTGGCCCTCCTGGCGTTCTGAGGACAGTTCTGACCAAACAAGGAGAGAAGATTGCTATAAGTGTGTGCACTCTAGAAATCCACCTAGAAATCACGGTAAAGACTTAGAGCAGGTGTGGCCCACCAGATGTTGTTGGGCTCCATGTTCATCATCCAGGTATGATGGTAGTCCAACAACATCTGGAGAACACAGGTAATCTTCCTGGGGATTGCAGAGTTTAGGGGTGACTACTGAGATATCCGGGACGCGGGTGGCGCTGTGGGTTAAATCACAGAGCCTAGGACTTGCCGATCAGAAGGTCAGCGGTTCGAATCCCTGCGACGGGGTGAGTTCCCGTTGCTCGGTCCCTGCTCCTGCCAACCTAGCAGTTCGAAAGCACATCAAAGTGCAAGTAGATAAATAGGTACCGCTCTGGCGGGAAGGTAAACGGCGTTTCCGTGCGCTGCTCTGGTTCGCCAGAAGCGACTTAGTCCTGGTGGCCACATGACCCGGAAGCTGTATGCAGGCTCCCTTGGCCAATAAAGCAAGATGAGCACCGCAACCCCAGAGTCGGCCACAACTGGACCTAATGGTCAGGGGTCCCTTTACCTTTACCTTACTGGGATATCCATAATGCACCACCGTCCCTCAAAATGCATGCATTTCCCCATCTACACAGATGCTATTGCTGTGGGTTTCCTGCATTAGTTGGGGGTTTGGACTAGATGACTTCTGAGGTCATTTCCAACTCCATTATTTTGTCACAGGGCACTTTGAGTAGAGTCTCTCCTGCAGACCATAACCACCGAGGTGAGCTTATATAAGATGGTCAATGACCCCTATGTAGAGTCTAAGCTATGCAAATCTACCGGGCCAGGATATAACGCTCCATGCCACCTACTATTTTGCAAGAGTATCTTTCTGAGTCGCAAAGTGAAACGGCACAGTGGAGGTGAACCTCATCGTAATCACCGATGAACTTGAAGACAGTGACGTGAAAGCGGCAAGTCAGTGAAACTCCGTTTTCTTCAATCCCAATTGTGTTGTCCTTTATATTCTGGCACCTACAATGCAAAAAAAAAAAAAAAAAAAAAAGTCCCAGCTCTCAACACAGCTGTGAGGAATCTCTGGAATTTCCAAAACCGAGGAAGGAAAAAGGTTGTCACTTACCCTTCTTCAATGATGAAGTATCTGAGCTTGTCATTGCTGTCTCGGGAAGGTGTTGCATAACATTTATTCAGCATTAGGATGAGATGGGTGGAATCTGCCCCAAGGACGAAGACGCCAACATACAGCACGTCACGGGTGGTCAGCACCACTTCACCTTGCCGGTAGGGATGCTTGTAGGATGAGTTTTTGTACAGTGCCATCTTGGTTGTGAAACTGCCTTCTTGTGTAGGCACTGTCAGATTAATCACACTGAAAAGGAGAGTTATAAAACTTAACGAAGAGTGAATAGAGAAAATATCCTGGAGAAACCATGGAGCAAGTTTGCTGAGTCAGAGAAGCAAGTCTAAATCTGCCTCAGGTGCCTATTTATTTATTAATTATATTTTGTCCTTTCAAGTATATTATCAGGATGGATTACAATAAAATGCTAAAACACCATAAAGTGATGAATGCACTGAAATAAGCTGTAAACAGCAATTCAGCTACCTCATTCTTCAGACAAATAGCATGGATTATGACTTGCTGTTCTTTTTCCTAATTATTTTATGTTGTTGCTTATGCATACATGAGAACTTTCAAACATTAGGCATCAGAGGCCTCTACAGGAGGGACAATATCTTTTGCAGTCCCAGGTAAAAACATATGAGGATCAAAGAGTGATCATAACACTACTAACTGGGCAGTTGGAGGGCTGGTTCATATCCTATGCTAGTGTAAGTTTTTGCAAACATAGGGGACACCCCATGGCTCTCCAGTCACAGAAACCACATAATGGGTGTATGCCTGGAGCTCATGAATTGGATGATAATAATAATAATAATAATAATAATAATAATAATAATAATAATAATTTATTTATATCCCGCCCATCTGGCTGAGTCTCCCCAGCCACTCAGGGTGGCTCCCAATCAAGTCTTAAAAACAATGCAGCATTAAATATTAAAAACTTCCATAAACAGGGCTGCCTTCAGATGTCTTTTAAAAATAGGGTAGCTGCTTATTTCCTTGACATCTGATGGGAGGGCGTTCCACAGGGTGGGCACCACTACTGAGAAGGCCCTCTGTCTGGTTCCCTGTAACCTCACTTCTCGCAAAGAGGGAACCGCCAGAAGGCCCTCGGCACTGGATCTCAGTGTCCGGGCTGAACGATGGGGGTGGAGATGCTCTTTCAGGTATACAGGACTGAGGCCGCTTAGGACTTTAAAGGTCAGCAGCAACACTTTGAATTGTGCTCGGAAACGTACTGGGAGCCAATGCAGATTTCTCAGGACCGGTGTTATATGGTCCCGGCAGCCACTCCCAGTCACCAGCCTAGCTTCCGCATTCTGGATTAATTGTAGTTTCCGGGTCACCTTCAAAGGTAGCTCCATGTGGAGCGCATTGCAGTAGTCCAAGCAGGAGATAATTAGAGCATGCACCACTCTGGCGAGACAGTCCACGGACAGGTAGGGTCTCAGCCTGCATACCAAATGGAGCTGGTAGACAGCTGCCCTGGACACAGAATTAATCTGCGCCTCCATGGACAGCTGTGAGTCCAAAATGACTCCCAGGTTGAGCACCTGGTCCTTCAGGGGCACCGTTACCCCATTCAGGACCAGATTGCAAACCACCTGAAAGAGTCTCTTGTTGCTGTTTTCTGCAGATGCAATAGAGGCGGTGAAGAAGGTCCTCTTCGCTGTCACCATTGCCACTAGGTAGGCTCAACGTTGAGCTCTAGCCCATGTCTGGTCTGATTCAGAATGAGTTTTCTGCCACCGGCGCTCTAGCTGTCTCAACGATTGCATTTATGCCAATTTTCATTCAGTGCTCTCATGAACTCAGACACAGGAATGACATCAGCATTTAAAGGAAGAAAGGAAGGAAGGAAGGAAGGAAGTCAAATCCAATATAACATGTGAATTGACTCCATATATTCCTGTGGGTGTCACCTCAGAGTATCCTGTACCCTTCCAAATAAAGTCAATGAGAGCAGGGACTTTATTCTTCCCACCCAAATGACCTCTCCATGTGTACAAAGGAAGCAGGTGTTTCTATTACCTGAGCATTGGTCTCACAACGGAATCCAAAGAAATTTTGATGTCAAGCTCATAAGCACAGGAGAATTCAACATTGATAGTTCGGTCTCGAGTGATGATGTTTCCAGTGTTGTTTGCACTTTCGATCCAGACTGTGTTTTTGTACATGATGTGGGTGCTGTTGGACTGCGCAGAGGGGAAAAATGTGGGGGTGGGGAGATACACATAGAAGGATTAAAGGCCTCTTAAGTGTGCAGATGCCCTCTTGACACTTGTATTATTCTCTTTAATAGTATCCAAAGCCATAATCTGTGCTTTAGACTATTCAGTAGTAACTTGTATTGAGTTCAGTGGAACTTACTCTAAACTGGGTGTATACAGAATTGCAGGCTAAATTTTCTTGCTTAAGTTGAGTGAAATGGAGGGAACCATCCAACAGAAGACTAACCCAAAAGAAGCTACCTTGAGCAAAGAATCTCTTTATGTGGTCTGTGGATAGTCTGAGAAGAATGGAAGTCTGGCAAGTTGAGGAATCAATTAAAAAGTAGATGATCAGTTGACAAAACATTCTTGAATTTGTGGATAGCCCTAAATAAAATTTTAGGATTACTTATAATAAATTAAAATTATGATAAAAGTCTATTATATATCATAAGCTTCCTAAGGGCAGGACCTGCCTGTCATGGACTGGTTGGATACAGAGGAATAGTGGGAGGAATCAGTTGGGGAACCAACAAGGGAGGAAGGCTCAGAGCTCAGGGAATGGTGGTGGGACAATGATGAGTGATCAGAGGAGATGTCAGAAGCTGAGGAAGTAACAGGACCAAGAAGCAGAGATGGGTCAGGCTGTTGAAGAGTCATGTCTGGGAGATTAGCTCCCCTACCTGCTTGCCTCCCAGAACCAGAAGAGGCATTAAAAGGGCAGAGAAGAGTTTGGCGACACACAAACACAGTCTCAGATTGCTTGGGAAACACCCTGGAGAGCAGGAGACTTAGGCAGCTGTGGGGGGCGGGGACCTTCAGTCTCAGCAACTGCTTCATGGGGACAACACCTACTGGAGATGAGTTGCTGTGTTCATTAGGCCCGACACTCATGTGCAGATCATGGGTTTTCTTAATAAAGAGTTAACTCCAACTTGCACAGTGTGATATACTGCTGCTGGCTCTCCTGACATGGCTTATTTTTTTTGCTTAAGAAACTCTGTAAAGTACCATATACACCAGTGGTGCTGTATGTATATAACATTCAGAATGCATTTGATGATGTTTTAATGGCAGGGATGCAAAACTTTTCACGGCAGGACTCTAGTGACACAAGCCCAGAACAATCAATGAGCTGAAGAAGAGTGTCATGAGAATAGGAGCAAATCCAGAGTTCCTCAAACATTCTGACCTGCACTATGTTTCCACAGTTGCCCTTGGTGTTATTTATCTGAAAGGAGATGAAATCTTCTCCTTCAATGCCAGGACAGTGGCGGTCATTGATGCGCACCCCTTCTCTTTCAAAGCCCAGCTGAAACAGCTTGCACTTTGAGATGGACACCTCCATCTGGGCAGCTTTGCAGGTCACCTCAGCATCCAGGATGTCTTGCGTGTCTGCAATGAAAAAGAAAAGGAGTGGGGAGCTGTGTGCAGATAAGGGCTAGGCAATTGGTAAATGGATTTCTATCACATTTACTAGTCAAAATACCATTTAAAGGCCACAACACGGTCGAAAATAGAAGTAAAGGACGTGAACATTAACAATTCATTTCAATCAAAGCCTTAGTCCTGATGGCCAGCTGATTTCCTCCCCTATTATTTATGCAAGACTGAGGAAGTCAGATTAATTGTAAAATTAATTCATTAAGATGGAAGTGCATGGTGCCTAGGAATGACTGTTTGCATATATTAATGGCTTATCTAGTGTAAAGCTAGTCTAATATTTATATGCAGGTGATAGGTGCAGTTGTACAAAACTGCAGTGTGGTGTCAGCAGTATGCAGATAACATCCAGCTCTATTTTAAGTTTTACATCAGCTTCTGGTGCAGCACTCAATCCTTAGAGAGTACAAGTTGGAAATAAATCTCAAGAAGATGGTGATTTTGATGGATTGCAAGCCAAATGTGAGAGGTCTAGGAGTCTGTCCTGTCCTGGGTAAATTACACCCGCTTAGAAGGGTACTCTTTGACCTTGTTTTGCTTCTTGAGTTTCAGGTGACAAATAGATTTAACCCATTTTAATTTAATCTTAATCATTGTTTAATTGAATCTTAGCCATGCAGTCATGCCATACAATAATCTCTCATGTTGATTACTACAAAAGCTGTTTTGTATATCCTTTTAAATTTGGAGATGGTATTTGATTTGTCACCAAGGAAGTTTTTTTTTTGCTCATTCATGTGTTCTTATGTGATCTCCCAAAATACACCTGGCATTCTACCAGGACCAGAAGTCTTAAGTCAGACTCTTTGATGGGGATGCAGAATAAATCCCCTTCCCTCCTCAATTCAGGTTTGATGGACAGTTCCAAGTGATATTTTCCAGGGCTGGCGAGCTGAGGCTACAAGCAATTGACATTCACAGACAGCAAGGAAGATAGCTGTGCAAAATTGATTTTTAATGGTGATAGGATTTTTTTAAATAAAAAAAACCCCTGTGTATTTGTATGGAAATCAGTTGAAGCCTCGGGACTCAGGGCAAGTGGAAAACAAGGCTGGATGAAGCAATGGAAAATTCTGCCACAGGAAACAATCCAGTGCTGAGACCCAAGGGAGAAAAATGAGATGAAATAAGGTGATGAAAGAATGGGCCATTTTTATGTTCCCGTGGACTGACTCACCACTAAGGTAACTTGGCATTGCACAAACTACAATTGTTTGAAGTAGAACAAAATGTATCTTAGCTGAAGAGCAATTCAAAGTTTCTGTGACAGTATGAAACTTCCACCCTGTCCTAACAAATTCCATTCAAATTATTAATTTCTGTCATCTTAGTCCTACGATCATTCTTCCCCCCCCCCAAAAAAAAATAATTTATTTGGGGGAAGAAAGAGTTCAAAGGCATATTCCAGCCAGGCAAAATACCAGAGAAGGGGGCAAAGCAGGGTCTGTAAGGAGTTTGGGGGGAGGGGGCCGTATTTAGCCCCCTGGGCCTGAGGTTCTCCCCACATTTTGGCACCACCTTTCCTGCGCCTTCAGCTCCTTTTTGGGGGATCAGAATTCAACCTTGCATTTCACAGAGTCCAGTGTTTCCAAAGGTATCTTTTAATTCTTCTGCTTGGTGAACCACATTCTAGGCCAGAAAGAATCAAGGTGGGGGGCAGCAGGTGCCAGGCACCCCACAAATGGCATTGACAGAAGACAGGGCTGCCCCGATCCCAAGCAGCCTCTCTAAAGTGAACAGTTCAGGAGCAACATTTGCGGATGAGGATCGTGGCCGCAAGCGAGAGACACCCACCCGCTCCCCTGGTGCAAAGAGTCCATAAAAAGCTCAGCAGCCACTCAAGGGCCACCTTGCCCCGTCCTACAGTCATTCTGTAACATCCTTGTATCTAAGAGCAGGGACAGTATTCCAGAAACAAAAATTTAGTGTCATCACACCTACAAAAGTGATGTCGGATACTTCCTAAAGTAGGGGTGGAAAAGATGGAAGATATAAGAGAAAAAACCAAGATTCCTTAAGACTACACATACTTGATATTATTTGCGAGGAGAAAAACTCAAGGCTGCGTCGAATGTTCTCCATCCACTAGTGCAAGAATTTAAAAGTTGAGCAACAGAGGAATCCAATGCAGCGCCTACAATTGTGGAAGCTGTTTGTGAAACAGCCAACCCTTGTTGACCAATAGCTGATTTTTGTGTGCAATCTGTTTCTTAACCATCTTTGGAAAATGTACTTTGTTTTTCTTTGCGCAACAGTTTTCTGGCAGTGCAACATATAGACTGCTAGGTGACTTTAACTTAACGCTGCATTGCATACAACACTCAGCCAACATGAAAACCAGATCTACATCCTCAACAAACCTTGAAATTACGAGCACCAAGACTGACATCACAAGTTACTCGCTGGATGGTAGCAAACTTTCTTCTAAACTTGGGGTAGCCAATATGATGCCTACCGAATGCTAAGCTCTCTTCAGCCCAGCCACCATGGCTGATGGGGAGGGATGATGGGAGTTGTAAATCAACAACATCTAGAGAGCACTGCATTGGCTACCCACATCCTAAACTAAGGGATGGGAGGGACAGAGAAGGCTGGACTGTTCTTAAAGGGACAATGCACTGTTAATTCACTGTGCCTGGATCATATATGTGAAGGACACAGTGATACATGCAGAAGATCATGCCAGAGACTCAATGCTGGTTGTGACTGTCTAGTAAAGTTTTAATGCCCCAGAGTGGCTGGGGAAACCCAGCCAGATGGGCGGGGAATGAATGAATGAATGAATGAATGATATTTCACATCACCTGGATAGTATCCATGATACAGGCATACTGCCTGCATAAGTGGGGAATCTATGAAAACACATGGAGTTGGGGGCTGCAGGTTTTAGGCAAACCTACAGTAAGTAGAGAATGCTTGCTGTTTGGATCATCTATGAATGCATTTATGCTCCCTCTGTAACAGGGATGTGTTAGAGATGCTTCCCCAGTCACCCCTTGGCAGCTTCAACACGGCCACTGGTAACTCACTATTTCCATAGGGTGGTGGTTCTATGCAACCACACAGCTCTCCTCCATTCTCCACTTCACAAGTTCTGTTGGGACAATCTGCCCCCACACAGGGATCTTCAACCACTCCTGCTAAAAAGGAAAAAGGAGGGGGAAACAAAGAAGGACAACCAATTTATTTTAAGACCAGTTGCATGAGCTGCTGTTTACCACTTACACACAAAGTGCTAACACAAGAGAAGACCTAGGCATTTTTTCCTATGTTAACCAGCCTTTGTTGGGGAGATGTGAATTAATCTAAGGTGTAATCAATCATTTGTCATAATCAAGGGAATTATGTAGGTCTTTATATTCACCATTGCAAAGAATACTATCCAGAGGGGATCTCTAAGCTTGGATGGCAAGGAACACAGTGAATCAACTGGCTGTAATGCAGGGCTGCATTCAACTAACTTCTACTCAGAGCAGTCCCATTGAAATCAATGAAACTATGTAGGCCATGCTATTAACTTCAGTGGTTCCACTCCAAGTATTTGGCTACAATTCATATATTTCAGAGTCTAAGAACTAATGAGTTTGGGATTTTGTTAATTTTTTGTTAATTTTTTTTTACAATGCCTCTTGTTTCCCTGAAATAAAAAGTGAGCCCCCAAGGCTGTTACATGCTGAAAGTGTTACCTAGATAGCCCTTTATTGTGCTCCCAATAAATGCAATAACGTAGCTGGTCAACAGCAGGATCTAACATGCCAAATGTGCCCTTGAATGGCTGTTTTATTGACTTAGGGAAGCCCACTGTGACAAAGTTTGAGAATTTCTCAGTAGGAAGATGGAACTAATCCTAGCTCGCTTACAGCAATTTTCCTTCTCAATCCATTCTGTGCTGAGAATTCCAAAGGAGCGGCAGGCCTCCCCATAGGCTGCCAGAGAGCCACAAAGCTGGTACTTCTTCTGGTTGTAGCAGCCGTCGAGAAAGCAGGATTCATAGAAGGGCATTGGGTCCAGCAGCCCGTAACAAGGCTGAAAGAAGCCTTTCATGTCAGTAAGCTTGAGGCAGTAGCTGTCGCTCTGCAGGACCTGGATCTGCACGTTGTCACAGGTGGCAGCGTACTGAGCGTATTGAAGCTCATTGCAGCTGGAATCACAAAAACCACAAAAGACTGCAGAATACTGAAGATGTGGAAAGGTGTACAAGAAGCATGGGGAAGAGCACAGTGGTGGAAGCTGTATCAGGAAACCATGTCTGTGTGCAGTGAGGCACTAGGGCTAGAGTATGAAACATATTTCTAGGCAGTGAGCAGTCTCCATGCAAGAGAGTGGCTCCACTCACCCAGGCTGGCCATTGGCTTTTCTCAACAGGAGGAACTATAAAAAGGCTTCCTACGTGGGCTTGGACTTCGCTTGAGCAATAATAGTTTCTGCTGGCTGAGGCTTGTTCCCTGACTTGGCCTCCTCACCTCTGACTCCTGGCATGATTCCTAGCTCCCACTTGCTTATGACCCAGCTCTGGCACATGAATGCGTGTTGCATGCAGAAGCTGCATCTCCTGGCCCCTGAAAGAACCAAAGCCCACCCTGTCTTATCCTTCATTAAATAGACTTTGTCCAGGCCTTTTAAGATTTTTACTGCAACCAGAAATATCTAAAAGTCTACTTGTTTTTATATAATATATAAAGAGACAAGTGCAAATTGGGATTCTGCAGTCTCCAAACTCTTGTCCCGGCTTTTGCAGCAGGCTCAGGAAATGAGTATTTGTCCTTTCCTTCACCTAGAGCGAGAGTGGGGACCTCAGGACCCCAGGGGACTGAATGCAGCCTGCCAGGAATCTTTTATTGTAGTAGTGGTAGTAGTAGTAGTAGTTATCCTGTCTTTTCCCCTGATGGGACTCAAGACAGCTTACAAATAAAAACAAGAATCGCTAAAAACATAGGAAAAAACTATAATTAAAAAGCAAACACTGATAGTATCTAAACTATATACATATCTAAAATCTGTTTAAAACACAGCAATAATTACAATAAGCACAAGCCCTTTAATTAAAAGCAGTCGATTCCCCAAGGCCTGTCAGAACAGTAATGTCTTTGCCTGCTGGCAGAAGGACAGCAAGGAGGGAGCCAGTCTAGCTTCTCTAGAGAAGGTGCTCCAAAATCTGGGAGCAGCTACTGAGAAGGCCCTATCCTCCATCTCCACCAAGCACGCCCTTGAGGGTGGTGAGACCAAGAGAAGGGAATCCCCTGAAGATCTCAAAACCTGAGCAGGGTTGTATGAGGGAATACAGTCTTTCAGACAGCTCAAACCTAAGCCATGTAGGAATTTATAGGTGATAACTAGTGCTTTGAGTTGTGCCTGGAAACAGACCACCAATAGCCTGTGCAGTTCCTCTAGCAAGGGAGTCTACGCTCCCTGTGATCAGCTCCGGTCAACAATCTGGCTGCAGCTCTTTGAGGTAGTTGAGGTTTTTGAGCACATAGTGTGTGTTACAGCAATCCACATGGGATGTGCCACTGTGGCCAAATCAGACATCTCAAGGAATGGGTGCAGCTGGTGCACTAGCTTTCACTGCGCAAATGCACTCCTGGCCATTCATGTTCAGGGCTGAGTCTAGGACCATGCCTAAACTGCGAACCTGTGTCTTCAGGGGAAGTGTTACCCCATCCAGTACAGGCTGAATCCCTATTCCCTGTTCTGCCTTCCGACTGACCAAGAGCACCTCTATCTTGCCTGGATTAAACTTCAATTTGTTCACCCTCATCCAGTCCATTACTGATGACAGACGCTGGTTTAGAACCGAGACAGCTTCCTTGGCTCTAGGTGGAAAGGAGAAATAGAACTGAGGTGGAAACTACACACATAGAAAAAAACGTTGTGAAAATGCTTTTAAAAAAAAGTTTTTTAAAAAATACATTGACTTTGCCATAGCTCACTTTCGCCACCTAGTGTCACATTTGTATATTGCACTTTACAACACACTTAAAACGTTTTATTTGTAGCTGTATAGCTGAGTCCTGAGTGTCATCAGCATACTGGTGGCACCGAACCCCAACAACCTCTCCTAGTGGTTTTTGTTAAATCGCATGGGGGACAGATCAGAACCCTGAGGGACCCCACAGGCCAACAGGAGTCCCCCAGACCACCTTCTGGGTTCACCTCTCCAGGAAGGAACAGAGCCACTGTAAAACACTGCCTCCGAATCCCATCCCATCTCTAAACCACACCTCTTCTCCTCAGGCCATGTCTTTCATTGGTGCTGCTCCACATCCTTCTCAATTGCTTTTGTCTTGCCCTGCCCTCAATTGCTTTTGCCTGGCTGGAATGTACAGCCCTTTCCCCAGCCCCCCTGCATCACTCCATGTACCTCTTCTGCATGCCATTCGTCTTCCAACTCTGGGCCAGGAACACACTGCTCACCACCGGCTTCCCTCGCAAGGTGACATAATCATCTGTGCGATCCCCGTTGAAATTCCCGCAAAGGCCACATACTTTATTCTGCAGTCGCTCACTGATGGCGATTTTGATGACGTTGAAGCCATTGTAATGGATCTGGATATCTGGGCTGGTATCAATGACCAGGAAGCCCTCGATGCTGTAGATTTTGGTTGACAAACCAGTCACAAAGGGGACGTTCACCTGTGTCCCATTCACCTGATCAAGAAATCAAGCAATATTTCATGCTACATTGATGCATCTTTCTCTCTTTTCTGGCTAACTTATAAAAATGGACAAGATCATATGAAAAATTGTAAGACTCATTTTGGAAGGTTTAAACTCCTATGTTCCAATTGCGTGTGAGAACTTGATGCCAGTCATCTTACACAATGAAGACATCAAATTAAGCTGATTGGTTTAGCTGAATTTTGGAATGAATAAATCTGAATTTCAGAATTCAATGTTCCAAATTCCCAACCAGAAACTTTCACGAAAAAAGATTGGGATTTTCTGTTAGCAAGGAAAGTCAACTCTTCAGATAGTGCTAGAGGGGCTTTCAATTTCAGAGGCTACAGGTTCAGGTCCTAGTTAACAGTCAAGACAAGCACCTAATATTAGCCTAAGTAGGTCATAACACCAGGATCAGATTTTCTGTACCTAAAGGGTGAGACCATGGACTTCAAGAAAGTGACAGATTGGAGCAAGGATTCAGTCTTAGCTCAAACCATCCCACTTTTCCTGGAGCCTGTTGTCTTCACTCTCATATCCCAAACAGTCCACTCCAGAAATTACAGTTGAGCCTCCATCTTCACAACACTGCCAGAGCCTACTGAATCAAGCACGGCCCCTTTAAATACAGGGTCTTTCATTGGTGGGGGTTAAGGTAGCCACCTGGAATGAAGTGCAGCTTATTTAGAACCTCGCTGAACTCCAAATTGCTACTGAAGCACCATCTGATCCTTGCTGGTGTGTAACTTCTCTACGCATCCAGGAATCTACTTGGATGTGTCAAGAGCCCCATTTGTACATAAACTCTTGACTGAACACCCCTGCCCCCATGGGTTTGCTTACTACCTGGAATATGATGCTGTGTATCATTACTGGAGTCTTGGGATTTAGACAGTTCCTAGGGGACCACCAGCTACCTATGGATTAAATTGCTTGCCCCTGATGGCTCTTGTTCTGCTTCCACTGTTAGATGCAGAATGCATCTGAATACCAGTTGCTGGAAACCACCAGAAGGGGAGAGCACTCTTGTGCTCAGGTCCAGCTTGTGGGCATCCCATGGGCATCTAGTTGGCCACTATGAGAACAGGATGCTGGGTCTATGGGCCACTGGTTTCACCCAGCAGGCTCTTACGGTCTAGCATTCTAAATGAGTCAGTATTGTACCTTGACAGTATTACGATCGCTGATAAGAATCTGTTCTTCATTGATATAGAAGTAAACAGGTGAGATGACTGTCAGGTTTGGGGACGACCACTTATCAAAATTGATGATGAGCTGGAAGGAGACATCAGGGAGTTTCTGGCAGATTGTGGAGAGGACAAAGGCACAGTTGGCAGGGAAGCGGAGGAAGGCACCATCAAACGTGCGGAACACCCCTCCACCTGCCGCAATGCAGTAGGAACTCTTCTTGCTGAAGCAGCCACGAACTCCATTCCGGAGGGCGCACTCCTCGTCCGACTTGCACTGCCGTGGGTCGCACTGGATGAGGTTGCGGCGGAAACAGCGGCAGCGGCGGGTGCAGTCGCTGCTCCAGAAGAGCTGCTTGGGCTGCAGGAAATGAGCAAGAAAGAGAAGGAAGCAATAACGTGAACGAAACATGAAACATGAAAAGCAATAACATGAAGGCCCACAGTGAAGGCCCAAAAAAGGGTATACATGTGGTCACAATGAATGCCCAAGTCAAAAACAAGAATCCAAAGTACATGCACTTTTTTCAACACCTGAGGTTCTGGGTCCTGTTCTGTGCCTGCTGGCTAACAAGTGGGGTGGGTGGTGTCAGAGGCTTAGTGCTGTCCAGCTGGCCATAGATAAGACTCCGGGCTCCCAGCCAGTTCCAAACAATTGATTTATTTGACAAAGTTCAAACGTACATCTCCAGCGTTTCCATTAACCTCCTTCCCCTTGAGCGCAGTTGCTCCCCCTAATGTTACTTCCTCCTTTTCCACACCCAGCATGCAAGTCTGCGAAAACTCCTCCCCTTACTTCCTCTGTGTACAGCATGACTTGTCCCAGGCTCATCCGCCTCCCCCTCTACGTCAGACTGATTGTCAGACGACAAGCTGCTGATAATCTCTTTAGGCTCTTTATAACTGCTGGTTTCTGTCCTTTCATCTTTTCCCTTTTGCCTCTCCCTGACAGGTGGGTCTGAGAAGTGATACCATTTTGGTCATGTTACCAACCCTACAGAACACTGTACCCAGGAAAGCATGCTGGCTCCCATCACTTAAAGTACATTTCCACTCCCTCAGGGTGTTCTGGGGATTAGAGTTTGTTAAGGGTACTGGGAATTGTAGCTCTGTGGGGGGGGGGATAAGCTACAGTTCCCAGGATTCTTTGAGGAAGAGAGAGCGCTTTAAATGAATAGTGTGTACACAGCCCTTGTCTGTCAGCCTCCTAGATACGATCTGGCTCTTCTGGGAGGCTTTTAGTGGTGGCTGACTGCCATTTCTGAATGTCCTTCTTGTTGCTGTTGATGAGATTGTGTCTTCATATTGATTTCATTTCTTTGCTTACTGCTTTGATGGGGTTATGCAGGTTTGCTTCAGTGCTTTATTGTTTGCTGTTGCGCCAATTTTGTTTAGTGTTGTGATGGTCCAGATTGTTTTAATTATACCCACATTGTTAGCTGCTTTGATTTCTTTTGAAGAGAAAGTGAGAGATACATTTTAAAAAGAATCAAATGAAATTGTGTTTTTCCCACATTTGGACAATCGTGTGTCTTAAGACCCCTACCAGGTTTCAGCTGTTTGATGTGATATACCTGGATTGGGAAAAAGAAATGATGCTCCCTGGTCAGAAAAAGCAATGTGAGAAATGGATCCCATTCATACTGAGCAATGCTAGCTACAAAACAAGAATTACGGTATTTTTGTTGTTGTTACTACTACTAGGTCCAGGGTACCTTAAGAGCTCACAGAGCACTATATCCCAGCTCGAACATGGAGGGAATCTGGAGAAGTGCTGTTGTCTGCTGTATTATAGAGGCCCAAGAAGAAGAAGAAGAAGAGTTTGGATTTGATATCCCGCCTTTCACTCCCTTTAAGGAGTCTCAAAGCGGCTAACATTCTCCTTTCCCTTCCTCCCCCACAACAAACACTTTGTGAGGTGAAGGTCACCCAGCAGCTGCAGGTGGAGGAGCGGAGACACGAACCCGGTTCCCCAGATTAGGAGTCTACCGCTCTTAACCACTACACCACACTGGCCTCCACTAGGAGCTGAGCATTTAGTGTTGCTATTTCCATCCTGCGAAACACTCTTCCAAATCTGTATTTGGCAGGCATCCTTACTATGGGCTTTCAAGAATCTCCTGAATACCTTTTTATTCCAGTACACTTGAGCAGTTGCCTAAAAATGTCCCTTAAGTAGCCACTCATTTGTATACTACCCTGGTGTTTCGGGAGAGGGCAATATATAAATACTTCTCTTTAGAAACAAAGACCATCATAATCTTTTCAAGCAGATAGTGGCCTGACCCTAAAACTTACTTTGGTTTGGTTTGGTTTCAAGACATTTGCAACAGAACAGGGCTCTGCAGACTCTTGTGCTGATTGACATAGAGTGTTTCTTGCAACCAGGAGAGGGCAGTCATGTAGTACCTATTTAAACAGACACCCTGCATGTTGTCAACTGAACGGCGGGTGGCTGAAAACCCACTGGCAGGGACTTTAGGCATTTATCACACTGAAACCTGTGGATTTTGTCTGTGTGCTTCTCCCCAGAGTACATGCAGGCATCCCAAAGGGTCGTTTCCTGGAGAATGGCTGCCTATCTGTGATGTGATGCCTGTGTGTGCTCCTAAATATGGGCCAGAAAATCCTTAAAGTGCGCACTAGTAGGCTTGGCAAAGAGCAACAGTCATACATACAAAAGAAAAACTTGGGACTTTCATTATATTAAGTGCACATCTGGATTCATCTGTCAGCCTCTTTCACAGATGCATGTTCATCAGCTGGTGATCATAGCAGTGAGTCATGATTTGCATTTGTGACTTAGCTATTTTGGGTCAGCTGTCATTGACAGAACTTCCATATCACCTCACATCATCTCTAAAACATGGGTTATGCTCAGTTGTAACACCAAACTATGGTTTGGCCTTACATGCATGAGTAGAGCCTTGTGCTTGTGCATTCCTGCTTTCTTCTCCATTGTTTGCCATTGTGTCTGAACACAGCAAACTATGGTTTATGCAAAGTACAGTTTGCCCTCAAACCAGGATCCCAATCAAAGAAATAAACAAGGTTTTGTATCCTGGTTTAAGGGCAGGCCATGGTTTGCTGAAAACCTAACAGTAAGTGAAGAAGTTCTGTCATGCAATGGAAGAAAGAAATGGCAGAACATGAGGCTCTGTTTGCACACACAATGCCAAACCATAGTATGGTGTTACATTTGAGTGAATCAAGAGTTGTAGGGTAGAAATAGTTCACTTTCAGTTGAGAGCTATCAACGGCTGAATAATCAAGTGGCATACATACATGTGTGAGCCTGTCCTTAGCCTAACACAATTTCTGAACTATTTTAACTGTGGGAAAAGGTCACTGTTTATTCACCGTTCATCCCGATTTGTATGTCCAAAATTTGCAGGTAGGTTAGACAACACTGGCTATCTACTGAGTTTTCATTCCGATTCATTTGCGGGCAGGTTAGATGACATTGTATCAAGAAATTGTTTATGCCCCACTTTCTAGTGCATTTTCTCGACACTTTCCTTATCACGTAAAGTCCAATTTTGGGAGGAAGCAGCCAGGTTTGTTGCACAAGAGAATCAGCTTTAGTTTGACAACTTGAATTTGCCAGTATGTGACTGAATCCCACCTGAAAATACAATGGTACCTCAGGATAAGTACTTAATTCATTCTGGAGGTCTTAACCTGAAACTGTTCTTAACCTGAAGCACCACTTTAGCTAATGGGGCCTCCTGCTGACGCCGGGCTGCCAGATCACGATTTCTGTCCTCATCCTGAAGCAAAGTTCTTAACCCGAGGTACTATTTCTGGGTTAGTGGAGTCTGTAACCTGAAGTGTATGCAACCCGAGGTACCACTGTAGTGACAGTCTGGAATAAAAGCATTGACAGTTGCCTTTCCACCTAATCAGCCTTTTTCTTAGGAACTGGGCATGGGGGAAGGAATAGTAGAATTGTAGAGTTGGAAGGGACCATGAGGGTGCAGGGAACATACCATTGAGTAGTGCCAGAAAACAGCACTGCTTCCAACAGACAAGGGCAAATGAATGAAAGGAGACTTTAGATCACTTCCCTATAAGTCGGCCAAATCACTGCAAGGTCACCAAGCTTTCCAGTGCTGCTTGCCTTCCTCCCCTCCCTCCAGGTTTGTTTTTACACACAACCTGACTTGAGGGCTTAATTCTGGCCGCCCAAAAAGGGGTGTGAAAAATTGCAAACCAATACTACTCGCTGACACCTTTATCGCTCGTAAAAGCAAGGAAATTCAAAGTTACAGTTTCCACAGCAACCTCGCTTCTCTCCTCGTTCCAAACAGAGCTCAACAAATATCCTGTTGACCACCGATGTGTACTTTTGCAGAGGAGCACACATTACATTCCACCCCTCTTGTTATTAGATTTATAGAATAATTGAGCGCATGAGCTTGCTTCTCAGTTGATAAGGGGCTGCAGTAGCCACAGTGTAAAAGAAAGTAACTGCTAGAAAGTGGAGAGGCAAAGCTGGCTACATGAGACATTATTCATGGCAGCCATCCTGCAGTCTAAACTGGCAATACAACAGAACTTGCGAAGGGGTTGCAATTATGACTTTGAAAGAAAAGGTAAAGGGTGCTTTTGAACATCAAAATAATTCCATAACAAATTATCTATACCCTTCAACATTTCACGGGAAACATGTAGGGTTGCTTGAGTAGTTCAGTTTCTAGGAATTCGGATACAAACTGATTGGATCTGCACCTTTTAGGTTGCATTCACATAATGATTTATTCCATTCCCCCAGAATTACCCTGCCTCTTAATTTTTGTATTATATATGGGCTTTCAAGTGACATAATAGTCACTTTTGGAAAACTGAAGGAACGTAACGTGTTTAGCACTCACTGCCATGTTATTTGATTCAGAAAATAAGTCAATTTGCAGACCCTTTGCGCTGGAAAATCACAGGAGCAGAGTGAGGAAATCTGGGGTGATATACAGGCATACAGTTCTTCCTTGCTCTTTTCATGTAGAAATCATGGAGGAGCAGAAGGCATGTGCAGAAAGGCTGGGGGAGTAGTGATGTTGTTCAATGACAATCATTGTTTTGCTGCAGCTCGCCCACTGGTGTGAATGAAATTTAGCACAGCGTGCCAGTATATCGGTCAAAAAGCCACAGTTCCATAAAGCAACAGGTACTGCAGTGGGAAAGGAACATTAAAAATGAGCTAGAAGTGCTAGCATAATAATCAGGAAAACTAAAATATTATTCCCCACATCTGAATGCATCCTTAGACTAATGTGTGGATCAGAATGTAATTATCCTGATGTTGGAATCTCTTTTCTTGTACCTTGGACCCGAGATGATGGATTCAAGTTAGAAGAAGTGAGATTCTGATGAAACATCTGCAAGAACTTTCTGGTGGTAAGAGCTGTTTGACAGTGGAGCAGACTCCTACAAGAAGTGCTGATCTCTCCTTCTTTGGAGGTTTTTGAGTAGAGGTTGGGTGGCCATCTGTCAGAGATGCTTCAGTTGACATTCCTGCATTGCAGGAGCTTAGACTAGAGATGACCCCCAGGGTTTCTTTATGACTCTACAATTCTATGATTCTATGTGATATATGGAAGTGAGAGCTGGACCATAAAGAAGGCTGAAGAATTGATGCTTTTGAATTATGGTGCTGGAGGAGACTCTTGAGAGTCCCATGGACTGCAAGAAGATCAAACCTCTCCATTCTTAAGGAAATCAGCCCTGAGTGCTCACTAGAAGGAGAGATCGTGAAGCTGAGGCGCCAATACTTTGGCCACCTCATGAGAAGAGAAGACTCCCTGGAAAAGACCCTGATGTTGGGAAAGATGGAGGGCACAAGGAGAAGGGGACGACAGAGGACGAGATGGTTGGACAGTGTTCTCTAAGCTACCAGCATGAGTTTGACCAAACTGCGGGAGGCAGTGGAAGACAGAAGTGCCTGGCGTGCTCTGGTCCATGAGGTCACAAAGAGTCGGACACGACTGAATGACTAAACAACGACGACAACAACAACAACAACAACAACATCTTTCAAGTTTTGTGGTTCTCCAGAATTTCAATTCTTCAAGGCAGGGCTTGAGTCCTCATACAAATCATGTGCTCTTATCACACGACAGACTGCCAATGAACATACATTTCTAAGCATGTGCACTAGATGTAAGAAGAACCTGCTTCTGACCTAGAGATGTAACTTGAGTTGGAAGCTCAGCTCTGAAGACTGGCAACAACTCTAGCAACTCACACTGCCAAAATCTTTACAAGGCATCAGCAAACAGCAAAAATAGAGACAAACAGGGATAGTGATTTATCAGGACTAGTATTAAAAAACGAGGGCTGTCACAAGCTGGAACTATGGGCATCACTGAAATGCTACACATTTATTCATTATCCCCAAAACAAAACAAGAAGGCTCCATTCTGGTCTCTGATTGTGCTCCTGTCTCACCCATTTATTATTTCAGATCAGTGAATTCAAAGCCTAAAAATTTCTTTTCTCCTGAATTTATATCTTTCACTGATATAAACTAGGAGTAAATCCTTGGGATTCAGTAGTCACACTGGCATAAGCAACAAGGAAGGATCTCCCTCTCAGTTCATGCAAATGAGGTCATCAAATTAAAGTTTAATTTTGTCGTATTCCCCCGCACCCCACCATGCAAAAGCAAGTCTGGAAGCTCAGCCTCATTACAGGGAATTTGTCATTCCATTGTGTGGATTAAACTGATTAATATTACATAACGCACAGAACTATGCCACTAAATGCACCACCGTTGTTCATTATTTCAGGATCACGCTGTAAGGTAATGGAGAAGGAGACCGAAAGCTGACAGCAATGCAAACTAGCATAGCAGAGAGAGAGAGAGAGAGAGAGAGAGAGAGAGAGAGAGAGAGAGAGAGAGATACGGCTGCCTGCAGCACCCGCAAATTATCTACGAGGAAATTTCACCCTTCTGAAGGAGCGCGAGCGAGTTCCCAAGGGCATTGTGTTTACATCCCCCAAAATCAAGCTATTAAGGCAGAGACATTGTCAGACGCAACGACGGCAGATAGAGAGCATTCCATCTCCATCCTCTGGTTTCTTCTCATTTGGAAACCATTTACAATCCAATCCCACAGGCAGCTTAGGGTAGAAAAACACCATAATTTGCAGTGTGCGATTTCAAATTCTACAGCTGGTTTTTATTTTTTTTATTTTTTTTGTCATTGTTGCTGCTGCTTGGAAGAATATAGATGAGGAGAGCTCCTTGAAGAAACCCTCGTTTTTATGCAACACTTATGACAGCATGGAAGCATCAGAGCCCACGTTAAAACAGAGAGGTCCTCCCCCCCCCCCATTCCTCCTTAAAGCAACATGAACCATGAAAGCTGTGCTTCAGATTTGCTGGCACATGTTTTAAAAATGAATCTTGATGAATGCAAAGGAGCTTTTGAGCAGGATCTCGCTTCATTCTGTTATCCCCTTTGGATATTTTAAGCCTGATCCTCATGGAAAATTCATCCAAGTCACAGAAAGAATATAATACATATATGCATTTTTAATTGATTTTTAAAACAACAACCATGCAAGCAAACACTCATAATTTCAATTTAAAAGTAGTTTGAACTTCTAAGATGAGTTTTGCCTTTAAAAGGGAGCTTATCTGAGTCCACCAAAACATAGACGATGCCAGGCAAGGTAAAAAGAAAGCGATAAACTTGCTCCCCATTCAGATAAGTAGCATCCCCACCACCACCACATTGGCAGATCCCTGGGGGTATTTGATAATCCTGACCCTGGGGTTATTTGAAGGAAAGACACTTTGCAGGGTGCTTTTCTCCACCATATTTTCAAAAAGAGCCGATCCCTATTGCTCGCTTTCATCAGATACAGAACTAGGGTAGGGAATAGCACTCTTAAGCCCATCGAAATCAATACAACATACTTCAAAGAAAATATTTGTAGGATAAGAAAGTTAATGTGAAACATGCCACTATTCCTAAATTTTAACCTGAGAACATAAAAAAGAGCCTGCTGGTTGAGTCCAATGGCCCATCTGGTTCAGCATGCTGTTCTCATAGGGGCCAACCAGATCTGCCTGTGGGAAACAATGCAAGGGGTGCCAACTTGAACAAAATATTGTGGAGAGCCCAAATAAACCCTGCCCTGCATAATCGATCACATGACACAATGCACAGGCCCCATTTGAATGGCAAAGTCCATCAGCATTGGGGGCCCCAGCCCCCTCAAATATTTTATTGGGGGGCTGTAGACTCCTCAGCCTCTAAGAGTTGGCTCCTGTGCTTCCAACTGTGAAGGAAGATCATAGCCAACGTGACTAGAAGCCTCCTTATATTCTTATGACTAAGAAGATGCTCACAAAACAATTGAGAAGCCCTGGGAGCCGCCATTTTGGAACTGGTGCCTTACCTCGTAATATTTGCCATCAGAATAGCAGCCACAGTTGTGAGGTAGGATGCAGCTCTTGCCGTTGAGGACGTAGCCTGCATCACACTGGCATCCTTCGACGCAATAATGGTTGCAGTCACTTTTCAGCCGGATGGCAGCACAGCGGGGCTGGCACACACTCACACAACTCTCATAGTGACTGTTGGGAGGGCAGCTGACCGCTGGGAAAAAAGAGGAAAAGCTTCTTAACACGGCAACACACCCCTGCCTGATGGTCAAACTTCAATGTTCCCCTCTTGCCTTTGGGAGCGCATGCACACCAGAAGGCCCAGTATGACCAAGGGCCTGAGAAGAAGAAGAAGAGTTTGGATGTGATATCCCGCTTTATCACTACCCGAAGGAGTCTCAAAGTGGCTAACAATCTCCTTTCCCTTCCTCCCCCACAACAAACACTCTGTGAGGTGAGTGAGGCTGAGAGACTTCAAAGAAGTGTGACTGGCCCAAGGTCACCCAGCAGCTGCATGTGGAGGAGCGGAGACGAGAACCCGGTTCCCCAGATTACGAATCTACCGCTCTTAACCACTACACCACACTGGCTCTTTGTAATTCCCAGAGATGCATTGCCTCTGTCCTTGAAACCAAGTGGGAGAAGCAGTGGGCCCACCCCCCTTGCTCAGCACTGTTGCCCCCAACAAGGAACCTGAAATATGGGGGGAATTGCCACCATCTTCCTCATGCTCCCTCTAAAATTCAGTGCTGCAATTGCCACCAAGGAAAAGACTAAGCCAAAAGGAGTGCTTCCTTTTCCCCCTCTCCAACAGATGAAGACAATACTTATTGAGAGACAGGAAAGGGGGAGGAGATCTACGTGGCACGTTGGCTCCAGACACTTTATGGTCAAACGACAAGAAAGAGACGCAAGCATAGCCTGATAACAGGCACAGATGAGTTGAACAAAGGTTCTGCGGGGCCTATAGGTAAGCCACTATTATTATTATTATTATTATTATTATTATTATTATTATTATTAGGTGGACCCCTGTGAGAACAGAGAGTTGGCCTGGGTAGGCTTTTTGTCTGAGCTTCTGTACTGAGGAGAGGCAGTCCTAACATGGAGCAGCCACCTAATACCTAAATGGGAACTGTAATGAAGAAGGCTCTATTCTGAACACAAGAAAATCTGGAGATCTGAAGAGAGACAGTATATTATTCAGAGTTCTGAAACCAGCAGGGGCAAAGGAAAGCACCCGGTGCGGGGTGTTGGGTGGGGCAAACTGCCCGAACAGCGCATGCACGCCACCGCTACGTGCAGTGCATGCATGGCGCTGCTATGTACGATGCATACGCAGCGACGACGATACTGCCAGCGCTGCTCGAGCACCGTACAGACGGCAGTGGGATCCTATGCTTGCAGCTGCAGTGGCAGAGGAGGGACCCTCCATTCACAGCTGCAGAGGCGGCAGCACTATCCTCCGCTCGTGGCAGAGGGATCCTCCGGATCTGCCGCACGCGGCTGTGACAGTATAATGACAGTGGCTCGTGCTGCCGCGCCTGGGGGTGGCCTGGCAAGCCCCCCACGGGGTGCCTTCTTGTCACCCCCCGAGAGATGGCACCCGTGGTGGACCGCATCCCCACCCCTTCCTCTGTCACTGGAAACCAGTACAACAGAGACACCAAGGCTCACATTGTGCAAACACCTTTCTTCAGCTCCACTGACCAACACAGGAGTCAGCAAATGGCAGTCTTGAGGCCAGATCAAGTCCTTTGAGGGCGCAGTTTGCTTCCTCTGCTATTGTCAACCTGACACAAAAAGGTGGGTAACAGCAGGCCGTGGGGGGAGGAGGTTAGACAGCTGGCTGTCCCCCCACTCCAGGTTGAAAAGCAAAACCAGTTCCTTATAGCCTCTGACCTAAGTGGGGTGGGGTTATTTTTTTGGTAGTGCATCAAAACTTTGATCAGAAATGACAGGAGGATTAAAAATGTGTGTGTGTGTGTGTGCACCAGATACAACCAAAGTGGAGGCTGGTCCATTAGAGTGCACGGCACACTACCCTACCAGCTTTAGTCTGCCCTCCACCAGCTCCGACCTGCCTGATTTCCTACTTACATCCAGTTCAGGTGTTGACACTGATGGGCAGCTGCCTCCCGCTTGAGAATTGCTTCCACAGGAGGCATTGATGGCCACCAGCTTGGAAGAGGATTAGACAAATTCACAGAGGAGAAAGCAATACATGGCTACTAGCCATGACGGCTATGCTCTGCCTCCATATTCAGAGGCAGTAATGCTTTTGAGTGCAAATTGCTGGAAACCACAGGAGGAGCAAGTGCTCTTGTGCCTAAGTCCTGCATGAGGGTTTCCATGTGGCATCTGGGTGGCCTCTATGAGAACAGGATGCTGGACTAGATGGGCCGTTGGCCTAATCCGGCAGGCTTTGCCCATGAAATGAAATGAATAACGATCTAGCCTTGGTGCTCTCCTTGAAGAACTCAGCAAGAAGAAGGATGGGGATGAAACTAGAATAAGTTGGTTGTGCCTGCCAGTGGCTCTGGCGCCACCTACTGTTGACCTCCCTGCTCTTCTAGAGCACCTTTCTGTGCCTCTGAAAAACAACTGTATCCACCCTATGAGAGTCTGAAAAGCCAAGCTACTACAAACATTCAAAAGATGAAAGGGCAGAATGGAGAACATCCACAAGTCCTCTGCTTCTCCTCCTCTCCCCATCTAACAGCTGCATTCAGGTCCTTGAATTTCAGGCGCAGAGCTGATTTAGGCCATCAATTTGTGAACAGAAAATGATCCAAATTTAATTTTTAAATCTTATTAGTGATGAAAATGACTTTTCAATTGATTTGCCAAACGGTCTGCCTGCCGGAGGAGCTTTGCATCTTCATTTATGAGGAGCGTAATTGAACGGTACATTGTAATCCTATTGACCACAGAGACAAGCCTCCTTAGAACAAATACGTACTCTTTCGCTCGCATGTATAAACTAATAACATTTGCATTTGACAAATGAAGAACAACTGCCGCTGGGACTGGAGATTTAACCTACATCTTTCCAGAACGGGGTTTGGATGTGCAAGAAAAATACCTTTGCTTGTTTAACAATTCTTCCCTTCTAACCAGGGTGGGGGTACCTGACTCCCCTTCCACCTTGGTGAAGGCACGGGACACCTGGTGTAGGGGGTACATTGGCAGGGGACAATCTGGTAGAATGCTGCAGCTGACTGTCCTTCCTTATGTAGGTTTGTATTCAGTGATGAGGTTGCAGTGGGTTTAAAATTCATTACTATTTCTGCAGTAGGGTCCCTGTCTTCAACATCCTAGAGCAACACAGTCAACATGAAAGGAGAGCTTTTTAGCCACGGGATGCTCCAAAGCAAAGCATTTAGGAACTCTGAAAACACAAGGTGCTTCAGTTTTAAGAGAATGGTGCGGAGCACTCCAAATCATTTGCCCATGTGCGTGCACAGAAAATACGTCTGGCTGAAAGGCAACACAATGCATTGCAGTGCATCTCAAATTATTATTATTGTATAATCTTAGATGGTTGTGTAATCTTAGGAGGAGTGTGGCTGTAACTATTACTAAGGGACCCAGCACTTTTGAATTTGCTACTGCACTGTTGGTTGTAGCCAACTAAGTTCTATTGAGAGCAGACCCACCAAAATTAATGATCCTACATTAGTCATGTCTAGTAACTTCAGTGGGCCTACTCTGTAGCACAACAGGTTGGAAACAAGCAGGTCTTGTCCGGACAAGTTTAGCATTTCTCATTACAATTAGTCAGACTGTGCTTGGCTCAGTCTAGTAAGCCACATCTGTCTCCCTCTGTTCCAAGATCCCCCAGAAGCTTACCTTGGAACAGTGAATGGCAGAGGTGGTGGTTTTTGGTGCTCCCAGATCCCAGGGATATGTCTTTTCCTGTCAAGGACCACAAACAAGACCCAGCATCCCTGGCAGAGACAATGGCACTCTGCATGCAACTCACACTGAGAAGGCTGTTTCTCCCCCCTGCTACAAGTAAAGTTTCTAGGCCTTGGAGCAAGGACCACAATGACAGCAAGTGCTTTGTAAATGTTGGATTGGAATACTCACAAAGGCCCAGTTCTTTTTTGGATGAGTCAAATGCATTTATTATTTAGATAGTGCTTCAAAAGCAAAGTGAGTGTATGAAGCTACACATCTGACCAGTGGCATAGCATGGGGGGCTGGGGGGGGCATTGCCCCAGGTGCATTTTTTTGAGGGGGTGCAATCAGGAGTGACCTATTTCAGCCTGCAGGGCCAGATGCAAAACTGAATGGAGCAATTAACATATTTTTGTTTTTTTTACCTTTGTACAGCAGACCTGTTATTAAATACACCCCTCTCTATCCTCCAATGAATATCCAATGAAGCACATGTTAGTATCATTTATTTATTTGTTTGCTTGCTTTCCTTCTAATTTCGTAACTTTCAGCATCATCACATTTTCATTATTATTTGTCGCTATTGCTTATTAAATTTATGTCCCACTCATTCCTTCCAAAATAGTCCAGGGGCAACAAACACACAAATGGTTAAACATCTAAAAACAATTGTGATACAGGTGCAGACTGTATTATCAGAATTCAAGGACACGCTGCAGCCAGGCAAAAATACTCAAGGTTCTGCAAAGCAGAAGCAGTAGGATACCTGGCTGGGGAGAGGCTGTGGCCTGGGAAGATCCCCGAGGGCCAGACAGAGGCTTGGAGGGCTGAACATGGCTCCAAGGCCTGAGGTTTCCCATCCCTATGCTAAAGACTGAAACTGGGACCTTTTGCATGCACAGCTTATGGGCTCTCCCCTGTTGGTGAGCTAATTTCTGGGGCAAATTTGTCCCACATGGCACTCCAGACAATACAAGGACAACAGCTTCAACTTTTACAGCAGCCAGATCAAGGGCAGGCTGCTAGGAGATGCCACAGCAGGTTTGCAGCAATGAATCCAAGGAATTGCCAAAGTCAAAGTGAGCTTTTGTGCTGAGTGCTTAAATATCTGTCAGATTTAGGGAGCAACCCATAATTCATCCTCTTGTGGCTGCATTTCCTTTATGAAGCCGGTGACATGAGAGATAATCTTCCGTGACTCTGGTACACATCTCTTTCATGTTGAGGCATTTGTTGAGCTATTCTTTTCCGCTGTCTCCTCTTATCTGTGTCATTTTTATCCAATACTTTCCATTTTGTCATTAGGTGCCCTAATCGGAGTCTCTGCCTCTCTCTGGGAAACCTTGGCACAGAGAAGCGCTCTCTCTCTCTCTCTCTCTCTCTCTCTCTCTCTCTCTTCCTTCCTTCCTTCCTTCCTTCCCTTTCCTAGCAATTCACTCACTGTCTCCTTCCTGCAAACCTCAGCATCATGAAACTGTTCTCCATCTTTGATACAAGCCGAGCTCCGCTTCTGCGTACCTCAGAGGGTCTCGCAAAGATTAAAAACAACCACCACAACAACAACATGCTCTCCACTTAAAGAGCAATCATTAAACGAGGCAAAGAAAACTGAGAGGGAGGTCAGAGGCAGAACTGAGGAGATTTCAGATGTCTCCCTGAGCAGTTAATAACACTGAATCTGCTGTTGCAAAGTGGACCACAAAGTGACCTGGAACTGGGCAGAAGGATGGTTGCTACAGGCCAGCCATACTGATGAACTGTGGAACAGTGCCAAGCGGCTGACTCTTCAGCACCCAGGGCAAAAGCCTCGCCAGCCAGCTTTGTGCATTTAAAATAAGAATCCCCCTGCCAATGCTCAAGCTCACAGCCCTTGTGAAATCCGAGGCCTGAGAGGTGTCATTAGGGATGAGGGGAGATATCGGATTCAGCTCGCATTTAAAGGCAGACCTGCCCAGTTCAGCTTTTGCAGAGCGATATGTGAATCAAAGCACAGTCATCCTTTGACATTTGCATTTATCCGAACCTTGCCGTGCATGTCCCCAGCCTAGTAATATACACAAACATGCATCAGCTAGGAGGGTCAACTTAGCAAGGATAGAGGACAAAATTGTACGGCACTAGGGGAAACTGCTTTGTGAAAACAATAGGAAAATGTGCACTGAAATGTGGATGAATTTTCAAAAATGGATGTAGAAATGTGGGGAACTGAATTTATGTTTTTATATGTGTTGGAAGCTGCCCAGAGTGGCTGGGGCAACCCAGCCATATGGGTGGGGTATAAATAATAAAATTATTATAATTATTATTAAGATGGGAAATATGAGTAATAGCAAGAACCTGAAATTGACAAATCCATCATTCCCTTTGCTTAAAGTGGGGACTCGACCCCTGTACAACACCAAGCTTCGGCCAGTGAGGAGGCGAGTGTCAGATAGACTAGCCAGGAAGCTTACCAACTAGAGCCTAGATTTTGACCCCCTATAAGAAGAAGAAGAGTTTGGATTTGATATCCCGCTTTATCACTACCCGAAGGAGTCTCAAAGCGGCTAGCATTCTCCTTTCCCTTCCTCCCCCACAACAAACACTCTGTGAGGTGAGTGAGGCTGAGAGACTTCAGAGAAGTGTGACTAGCCCAAGGTCACCCAGCATCTGCATGTGGAGGAGTGGGGAAGCGAACCCGGTTCACCAGATTATGAGTCTACAGCTCTTAGCCACTACACCACACTGGCTCTTCCATGTCAAGATTTCTGACTTGCCTGGCCAACAAGACTCTTCTCTGCTGTTGTTCCCAATGACAAATCATTTCTATCTCTGTTTTTACTGGCCCACCCCTTCCTTTTAGCATGAAGTGAGGAACCTCTACCTCTTCAGATGTTGCTGGACTACAACTCTCTTCGTTGCTGACCATTGGCTGTGTAAGTTGGGACATCTCAAGGGCCATAGATTAGCAGGAGCTACGTCTAACAACACACAGCCAGCTATTTTTGAAGCTGTTAGAACAGGAAAGGAAATTAGACCTAAGTGTGGTGTTGAGACTCAAAATCTAGACACTTGCTTACTAAGAACCAGGCCTAGTCCTAGTCAGGTTGCTTTTAGACATAGTAACTTAAGAAGCTGCCTTATTATCACGTCATACTGTTTCTCCCTACACTAGGGTGCTCTACTCTGATAGGCACTGGGTCTCCAGGGCTTCAGACAGAGAATCATTCCCATCACCTGCTGACTTGGTCCTTTCAGCTGGAGTCAGTGTGGTTAGAGTGTCAGACTAGGACCTAGGAGACTAGGGTGCAAATTCCCAGTCAGCCATGAAGCTCAGTGAGTGACCTTGAGCCAGTCACTGCCTCTCAACCTAAAATATCCCACAGGGTTGTTGTGAGATTAATTGAGGAGGAGCAGAACCAGGTATACCAGCTTGAGCTCCTTGGAGAGGAAGGTGGGGTGTGAATGCAAGAAACAGATAATAAACTGGGACCTTCTGTGTGCAAAATGCGTGCTCTATCCCTGAGCTACAATCGCCTCCCCAAATTTACTTTAAGAAGAAAGTACTCCCTTAAAAATAACAGCAACCCAGAAATGTCCCAGTTAAACATCAGTGGAGCTACTGGAGATGGAACAAAAGGACAGTTTTCATGAACAACGACAGAGATTAAAACAAGCTCAGCTCACAGCACAAGGTGAAGTTTCTCCAGCCGGTTACAGCAATCCCCTGGGTCTGGCAGGTGCTGGCGTAGTTCTGCAGCCAGCTGCAAGCGGTTTGCACTGCACCACCATCGATGCAGGTGTCAAACAGGCAGTTCTTGTAGAAGAAGGTGGGGTTGACTTTGCTGTGGCACCTGGAGAAGACGCCGCTCTTGCTGGGGATCAGGCTGCACAGCTGCTGGGGCTTCCAGAAGCCTTCCACCTTACGGCAGGCAGGGCACCTGTCACCACAGCCAACCTGGCAAAAGGGGTCCCTCTTGGCCCAACTGTGGCCAAACTCGTTGATGCTAGAGACGGCAAAGCCACCGGAGGTCTGGAGGTCGTCGTCAGGGTTGCTGTTATATCGCCCACAGAGGCCGTACGTGTTGTTCTGAAGGCTCCGCGGGACGGTGACGGAGAGGAAGGTTTTCCAGTCATAGACGACCTTCAACCCAAAGTCAGTCTCCACGACAATGTGGAAACCAAAGGCAAAGATGTTCACTTTCCCTTGTCCAAGCTTCAAGGGCAGGTAAAGGCGCTCATTGTTGATCTGCAAAGAGATGCAGTGAAGTTAGCTGGAGACTAAGACAACTGGCGTCACACCATTCTCATTCTGCATTTGTAAGCAAATAACCATTTAGTGTGGCAGCACCCACACTTTGGAACTCCCTGCCTATAGACATGAGGCAAGCGCCTTCCCTTCCCTTCCCTTTTTGGCACCCACTAAAAACATTTTTGCTTAGGCTAGCCTCTCTAGATGTATAGAATGTTGACTTGTTTTAATCCAATGTTTAGCTTATCATTGATTTTAACCTCTTTTTTGAACATTCTAAATTGTTGTTTTTAAACTGTTTTCTTGTTTTTGTTTACTGGTAATTTTATTAGCTAATACATTTTGTAAACCACTTTAAGATTTTACTACAACCAAGTGGTATATAAATCTTGCAAAATAAATAAATAACTAGCTTTGGGAGGTGGGTTTCAAAAAAAGATGGCCTGACGCAGAAAACCCGGTCTTCACTCAAGTTGTGGAAATTGTTGTGTAGCTTTGGGCTAGTCACCATTTTTCTGTCCAACTTGCTCATGGGGTTGTCATCAAGTTAAACTTCTGCTCTGAGCTCCTTGGAAGAAAGAGAGTAGAACACCAGTGCCATGAAAAATTGAGTGAAAAGGGGCACATCTATTGAGCAGGAGAGAAGCACCACACACTAGTTTATAATAGTGAAACACACAGGCCACAATCCAGCTCAAAGTTGGGTTCACTGAAACCCATTGAAATCAAGGTGGAGTGTGCCTATGGGTTCATAATAAACCCTCCAGGTCATCTGACAAATGGATTATGGTGCACCAATATTTACAGTCTGCAACTGTAACAGTACACATGCCAAATGTTTGGTCTGAGTAACCTCCACCCACTTTTGACTCACAAAAACCCAACAGATCATGTGTTCATGTACAGATGGAGAGGGAGCTATGGGCAGCCATCTCATGTGAGATGGTTCTGACCTCTTCTCAGCAAGAATCCACAAGGACTGGCAGCCGGGGTTTCAGCACCTTGGCTAGCTCCAAGCACACAACTTTCTCCAGTGAAAGTTGGGCATTGATTGAGGCCTTATAAGAGCCTCCCTCTAGTTCACTCCTTCCAAAGCTCCACCCACCCTGCCTGGGGAGCATGACCCCTTAAAGGGGCAAGCCCTTGACCGGAGGGTGGGAGCTGATTCTTCCTTCTGTGGCTTCTTGCCTAATCTGCTCCCTCATCATTTGGGCATTCTCCTTGGGGAACCAGGCTGTCTGGTAGTTACCAGTTTAGGTTTGCAGGTTTGTGGCCGTCAGCCTCAGGTTTGGTATCTGGAACCTGGTTGTGTTCCTAAGCCAGCGGTATAGCAGCTCCAGACTGGTTATCATTGGACTAAAACCTGGGACACCAAGGTTCAAATCTTCACTCGGCCCTAAAGCTCTCTGGGTAACCTTGGGCCAATCACTGCTCCTTAGCCTAGCCTACCTCCCAGGATTATTGGGGGATTAAATGTGAAGGGAGCAAACCATGTACACCACATTGAGTTCCTTGGAGGAAAAGGTGGGATATAAATTCAACCAATCAAATAGCCTTATCTATCATCTGAGGCCAAGGCCATGATAGGGACTTGTCTCTATGGAGACATTGTAATGTCCCATTACTGAGCAGTGCCAGCCCTACTGGTAGGCAAGCTGAATCAGTCCATCTTAGGCAGCAAATTCTGGATGCCGTTAGGGGGCAGAACGTTGCCAAATATTTATCTTATTGTTATCTTTTTACCATCACGCAGAGCAACATTTATATTTCCTGCCTCAGGCATGAAACAACTGTTTCCAGCTGACTCTGTGACTGAGAGTCACTGAATAGCCAACTTCAGCCTGACCACGATACTAAAAGAGGTTGAATTCAAATTTTCATTTCAGTCCTTTGGGATTCCTGTTTAACACTTCTGTGGATTCTCTGCTATTTAAAAGAGAACAAGCCAACAACACTCTGCTCCCGGGAGGACTGAGCCCAGACATGTAAAAACAGTGACAGAAGAGTTTCATCCATGACAGTGTTTTCCTCCTTCAACTATGCAGGGAAAAAATAAATACACGAAGCTACCCTTGACAACCCAATATGCAAAGGAAACAATATTTAACAGTGCATTTAAGCCCTATTGGTTTCCACAACACTTAAACATATCTAGCTCTTCCTGGTTTGCAGTCACTGCAAAGTTATATACTGAAAATAAAGGCCATCAATGACTACTAGGCATAACAACAAGGTTCTCTCTCCACTGTTGGAGGCAGTATGCCTCTGAATGCCATTTGAAGGGATCCATGATAGATTTACTATGAAAATGACAAAATTTAAGCTTCAGGGACACTAATCCCAGAGGGGCTCCAGAAGTGACTTTAATCCGCATTGCTTAAAAAATTGGGTCTGGTAGACCCAATTTCATCATTCTATGATGCATCATGCATGTATATAACATTTCTCTAATTTTCATCCCCCAAACTATAAGCCATAGGAAATTTTGATTCACTTTATTTACTTTGACATCCAGTATAGCAATTTTAATCAAAATGTGAGATGTTTTAGTGTGTGTGTGTGTGTGTGTGTGTATACACACACACACTGATTGTTGTGGAACAACCCCATTGAAGAAGATAGCAGTGGCTACCCAGACCTCGTTGCTGGTTATGAAGGGGCCCCCATAACAGCTCAAGCTTCAGGGCCCCATAAATGTAGGTTTGCTAGTGCTGTGATCAGACCAATGGCCCATCCAGTCCAGCATCCTGTTTGCACAACCAGATGCCTGTGGAAAACCTGCGAGCAGGACCCAAGCACAAGAGCACCCTACCATCTTGTGGTTTCAAGCAAGCATTACTGCTCCTCAGAGACAGGAGGACAGGAGTTGATAGTCATCTTTCAGGAGTTGCTAGAGCAGCCTTTCTCAACCTGTGGGTCCCCAGTTGTTGTTGAACTACAACTCCCATCATTCCTGAGCTCTGGTCTTTCTAGTCAGGGGTGATGGGAGTTGTAGTCCAACAACATCTGGGGACCCACAGGTTGAGAACCACTGTGCTAGAGGATGCCAGTCCCTCAAAGGCGGTTCTGTCCTTCGCTCCCCAGAAGAATTAGCCATGAATTTACATCTCCACCCACCTATTCTCTTTCTGCTCCCTTGCCCAATGTCCTCAACCCCTTGAAGCATTTGTCATCTCCCCATCGTAAATGGAGAGTGCTTGGCTCTCAGGTACAATGGAAGTTAAAACCCAAAGGTTTCACTGACAGTGGCGGAATTTGTATCAGTAGCAGTGAGAACAAGAGAAAAACTCACCACCTAAAACTGGAAGGGCCCTCTTCAGGGGCTAACCTGAGATTGTTGTGGTTTCTATGTTCTACTTTTCCATCTGTTTTGTTCTGACATTTGTATGTATTGCATGCTTTCTCAATTCTGGTCGACAGACTGTAATAAATCGATTCAGTGTCGCTGCGTTAACTCACCAGCACGGTGTGCTTGTAAGCCCGGTGGATGATGATGTTGTAACTGAAGACCTCCACTTCCACCTGCTTCACCCACAAGGCCAGGGAAGGGTCCCGATCCTCATTCTTGGCAGTGACCGTAAACTCGGGGAAGGTTTCCAACCTCTCTGACCTCTGCTGGGAGATGGTAGTGCAGAGGACCAGGGGGCAGCTGCTCTGAAAATCAAAAGCAAACCCATCAAAGGTCAAGTAATGGCCGTAGCCGGAGACGATGCAGGAGGCGTCGGTGCGAGCCTGGCAGTAATAAAGGCCGCTCTCCTCCATGCAGTACTCATCTTCTTTGCAGGGAATGTTCTCGCAGTGCACACTGTTGTCGGAGCCGTTGCAGTAGCAGAAATACTGGCAGTCAATGTCCATCCAGAAGGACTGGTTGGTGGAGAGCTGGTGGCCTTCAAAGCTGCAGCCGCACTCGGTCCTGGGAATGCAGTGGGTGCCTTGGAGGGCAAAACCATCGTCACATTGACAGCCCTCCGTGCAGGTGTCCAGGCAGACGGGACCCATCCCTAGGCTTTCGCAGGACTCAGAACAGGTCATGCACTCCTCAAAGTGGCTGTTCTCCGGGCAGGTGAGAGCTGGAGCAAAACAAAAAAGGGGGGAAGCACAAGTTTAGCTGGCAGCCAGCCACTTTCTCTTGAAGTCCTGCCATGCTGTGCCTCAACATGATAGATAAACTTTATTTGCATTAGCCAACGGACATAGCAACATAAAACAAGCAATATATACAATTAAAAAACAACAACAATGGATAAAAAGGACCATCAAATGACCAAGACCATCATTCAAATAGTGGCTCTTAATGTGAGGGCAATCTGGCTGCGACATCTGCCTCGACATTGTAGCATGGCTCAGGGGTAGAAAAGCAATGAAAAACTCAAGAGATAGGAGTTAGTTCTGATCCTGAATTACCTTCCTGGCTTCCACACCTAAGGGCTTACCCACTCTTACCTTTTGCCCCTCTCTTTCCGGTCACAGGTCCATGCTTAAAAGTTCCTTGTCTGAGCATTTCTGTTTTCGTCCCAGAGCTTTTCCTGTGAAAACCCGCCACTCAGTGCACAATCGGAGCAAACATCAATTCAGGTTTGTTTGTTTGCTCCAATTGAACTTTAAAGAGCAGGTTTTTGCAAGGAAAGCTCTGGAGGGGGAAATTAAATGAAGATAGATGTTCAGACACAGAGCCTGGAAAGAGCAGAAGAAAGGTAAGTTTGGATAAACCCTTAGTCTAGTCCAGGTCTAGACAGGACTGTGTGTTTTGCACCTATCTGCAATGAAATCCTGTACTGAGCATAGGTGTCTTTAGAATCCCAAATTGCTGTTTAAATTAGGGGGAAAGCTACATTCTAGTCCTTATGCTTTTGAACAGAAGCCTGGAAATGCATGCAGCCAAGGTTAATTCCCGAAAAACATAAAAAGTCCACAGGCTTAAAAATTCAACAAGCTGAGCACACTCCGGTCTGCCACTGTCAAAGATATCAGGGTGAGGTTTAAAACCATTCTGCTTCTCTGGGAGCTCATAATCACAGGCTCCAGACCAGGGCTATTCATCCCTCTCTCTTTTTTTGAGCAGAAGGATATGGGCTGTCAGGTCTAACTAATGCCAATCACTCTGGGCTCAGTCTTGCCCAGCCCCTCCTCTATACAGTCCTAGCGATCAGGGTTGATCAATTGTTTGCTAAAGTGCTTTGTAGTATAAATGTCCTGGATGTGTCATGTGCATTCCTATTTTCAAACTAAGCAAGAAAGGTGCAAGCACAAGCCTCTCTCCGTGGCAATCTGGATGGCCACCTGTCAGGCGTTCTTTAGGCGTGATTCCTGCATTGCAGGGAGTCCCTTCCAACTCTACAATTCAATGGTTCCATGAACAGTTTCCCCCATGGCTGGGTGGGGTTGGGGTTATAATCAGGATCATACAATGAAACTGATTCAGGACAGGCAAAAGGAAACCCTAGTTTAACATACTTAACCTTTGGAACTCACCGCCCCATGATGGGGTGGTCACCAGTTTAGAAGGCTTTAAAAGGGAGCTAGATTTCTCCTCCATTCATTTGCCCATCAGTGGTTATTAGCTTAAACAGGGACTGCCATGTTCAGAGCCAGTATACCTCTAAGAGGTCTGATTCTCTTCACTTCCTTCCTTCCTGCTTTGTGTGTGTCAGGAGGAAGGGTCCTTCATCCTCTGCACTAGATTGGTAGCTACGAATTGCTCTTGAACTTGATGCTGTAATGTTCAGCAATTTAGAAACACGAGGGAAGTTGGGATAGCCTAGGATGCTTTCAACTAAATCCTCCGGAGGGAGTTTTATTAGGGAAGAGACAATGCAAAGCCTTGCAATATTACTGCATGGTTTTATTCTTATTCAAGCTGCTTTATTAGTTTCATTTGTCAATTATTGTCATTCAAATTGTCATTGTGTTGCCTTGCCTTGTTTAGTATCCTTTCAGCACTGTGCTACATTACACAGCCTTGGGCTAGATGGAGTTTCCTTCCTGTTTACCCTGCTATTTCTTCCCCTCTTTTTCCTGCATATCAACATGCTGTTAAGTGCCCTCTTCCCTTCTGAGGTTTCCAGCAGCTGGTGTTCAGAAGCATTACTCCTTCTGACCATGGAGGCAGAGCATGGTATCATGACTAGTAGTCATTGATAGCCTTCTCCTCCATGAAGTTGTCAAAGCCCCCTTTAAAGTCATCCAAGTTCATGGCCATCACTGCCTCTTCTGCGAATGCGTTCCATAGTTTAACTATCAGGAACCTGTGGCCCTTCTTACTGGTTCAGCTTTATCCACTTGGGTGCTGAATATCAGCAGACCCACAAATGTTGGGAATGAACATGGTGAAATGCAAACAGGGGACACAGAAAGGGCTGAACTCCTCAATGCCTTCTTTGCCTCAGTCTTCTCCGATAAAGAAAACAATGCCCGACCTGAAGAATTTGGAGCAAATGATTCAGCAGAGGAAACACAGCCCAGAATAACTAAGGAGATAGTACAAGAATACTTGGCTAGTCTAGATGTATTCAAGTCTCCAGGGCCAGATGAACTGCATCCAAGAGTATTAAAAGAACTGGCAGATGTGATTTCAGAACCACTGGCAGTCATCTTTGAGAATTCCTGGAGAACAGGCGAAGTCCCGGCAGACTGGAGGAGGGCAAATGTTGTCCCTATTTTCAAAAAGGGGAAAAGAGAGGACCCAAATAATTACCGCCCAGTCAGTCTGACATCAATACCAGGGAAGATTCTGGAGCAGATCATTAAGCAAACAGTCTGTGAGCACCTAGAAAGGAATGCTGTGATCACCAATAGTCAGCATGGATTTCTAAAAAATAAGTCATGTCAGACTAACCTGATCTCGTTTTTTGACAGAATTACAAGCCTGGTAGATGAAGGGAACGCAGTGGATGTAGTCTACCTTGATTTCAGCAAGGCATTTGACAAGGTGCCCCATGATATTCTTGTAAAGAAGCTGGTAAAATGCGGTCTTGACTATGCTACCACTCAGTGGATTTGTAACTGGCTGACTGACCGAACCCAAAGGGTGCTCATCAATGGTTCCTCTTCATCCTGGAGAAGAGTGACTAGTGGGGTGCCACAGGGTTCTGTCCTGGGCCCGGTCTTATTCAACATCTTTATCAACGACTTGGATGATGGACTCAAGGGCATCCTGATCAAATTTGCAGATGACACCAAACTGGGAGGGGTGGCTAACACCCCAGAGGACAGGATCACACTTCAAAACGACCTTGACAGATTAGAGAACTGGGCCAAAACAAACAAGATGAATTTTAACAGGGAGAAATGTAAAGTATTGCACTTGGGCAAAAAAAATGAGAGGCACAAATACAAGATGGGTGACACCTGGCTTGAGAGCAGTACATGTGAAAAGGATCTAGGAGTCTTGGTTGACCACAAACTTGACATGAGCCAACAGTGTGACGCGGCAGCTAAAAAAGCCAATGCAATTCTGGGCCTCATCAATAGGAGTATAGCATCTAGATCAAGGGAAGTAATAGTGCCACTGTATTCTGCTCTGGTCAGACCTCACCTGGAGTACTGTGTCCAGTTCTGGGCACCACAGTTCAAGAAGGACACTGACAAACTGGAACGTGTCCAGAGGAGGGCAACCAAAATGGTCAAAGGCCTGGAAATGATGCCTTATGAGGAACGGCTAAGGGAGCTGGGCATGTTTAGCCTGGAGAAGAGGAGGTTAAGGGGTGATATGATAGCCATGTTCAAATATATAAAAGGATGTCACATAGAGGAGGGAGAAAGGCTGTTTTCTGCTGCTCCAGAGAAGCGGACACGGAGCAATGGATCCAAACTACAAGAAAGAAGATTCCACCTAAACATTAGGAAGAACTTCCTGACAGTAAGAGCTGTTCGACAGTGGAATTTGCTGCCAAGGAGTGTGGTGGAGTCTCCTTCTTTGGAGGTCTTTAAGCAGAGGCTTGACAACCATATGTCAGGAGTGCTCTGATGGTGTTTCCTGCTTGGCAGGGGGTTGGACTCGATGGCCCTTGTGGTCTCTTCCAACTCTATGATTCTATGATTCTATGATTCTATGAACTAGGTCTGTTGCCTTTAAGCCCTGCTTTAGGGCTTCCTGGAGGCATCTATTGGCCACCATGAGAAGGAGAGGGCTGGACTAGATGGAGACCTGGTCTGATCCAGGAGAACTCTTCTTATGTAGGTGATTTCTAGAGAGGAAACTAGCTTTCCGAAACCCCCTTTTACATACTATGATTAAAAGGGTCCTTAGTCCTGTCCATTCACTTCAGTGAGTCTACTCTGAGCAGGAATAGCATTGGTTAGAACTCTGTGCTTCAGTAAAGGGCCGCTCAGTAGCCTATTTTGTACAAAATGCTAACTGGTTTTTTGTTTAGCCAAAGTGTGGTCTGAGTGTCCAAACCCAGCTCTGGCAACAAACCATGATCCTGGCAACAAATCGCAATGCAAAGCAGTTCCCGAACTGTGACTTCTTTTAACTCTGGTTTCAAGTTCGTAAGATGATTTGTGGGCTGTTGTTGTTGTTGTTTTTAAAAAAGCTTAGTTAAAACAAACCATAATTTAGCATTATGTATGACTGCAACCTTAAAATATTCACAGACTTCCGAGTTTGTGCGAAAGCTCATCGCCTGCCAAATCTCAAATTCCACGTCCTTCCATTTGCATCAACTCGCCTAAGCCTTCTTGAGCTTCCGCAGTGTGAACTTCCTACATCTGCCTTTAGATTATGATAATAATACCACTGTCAGCAAGAATATTACCATAGCTAAACAACTCCCTCCCCCCCACAACCGTCTCGCTCATTCAAATTAGCCTCTGTTGTTACAGCTTAAGTCGGGATCCCTACTGCAATTCAAGAACACGGCGCAATAAAACTCCTGATGTCTCCTAGAACACATTCTATGAAAATTACTTAATTAAGAAAGTGCATCTAGAGGCAAAAAGCAACTGGAAAGAGAGAGAGAGAGAAAACACCCCAGGCACAAAGGTAATGCTTTTGCAACACTGTTTTAATCTATATTTTACATAGATGAGTGAAATGCATTAGGATGGGTGGGATTTGGGGGTGTCTTTTGCAAGTATGTGTGTGACATACCTGAATCCTGTTATGGGTCCCAGGTTCTCATGTCTGGGAGGTGGAGAGGCAGCCTTCCCTGGGTGGGGTTGGACTCCCCTGAAAGGAGCAGGTTTGCACTGTGGGGGTGCTCCTGGATTCAACACTATGGCTGGAGGCTCAAGAGGCCTCAGTGGCTAGAAGGGCCTTTTTTTTTTTAAGCTCCAGCTGGTTCTCCAGCTACGACCCATTTCTGTTAGAGATCACTATACTCCACGCACTGGAACCTTCAAAGCTGGATTATTATGATGTGCTCTACGTGGAGCTATCCCTGAAGACGACTGGGAAATTCCAGTTAGCTCAAAATGCAGCAGTCAAATTCCTGGCTGGGTTTCCACCTACATCCCATATAAACCCTGTTTTAAAACTGGTTGCCAATTCATTTCTGGGCCAATTCAAGGTACTCACATTTGTTGTTTAAAGTCCTAAATGACTCAGGCCCCAAATATCTGAAAAACCACCCTCCTTTTCTACACTCTCTTGCGTGCTGAAACTGGCAGAGGGAGCCTTCTTGGTGCCCTCAGAAGCTCAGGTGGTGGTGGCCCAGGAGAGGGTCTTCTCTGTGGTGGCCCCTAAGCTGCAGAACTCTCTCCCCAGATACGCACACCTGGCACCTTCATTATACAGTTTCTGGAGAATGATGATCCAGGCTTTTGACACTTGAGGTGTATACTTTGAGGACCCGCCTTATTTTTTATTATTGTAAGTTGTTTTAAATTGTTCTTAATATTGTGTTTTAATGTTGCAACCTGCCCTGGGGGCCTTAGGGTGAAGGATGGGAAATAAATAAATACAATACAGTGGTACCTCGGGTTAAGAACTTAATTCGTTCTGGAGGTCCGTTCTTAACCTGAAACTGTTCTTAACCTGAGGTACCACTTTAGCTAATGGGGCCTCCTGCTGCTGCCACACTGCCGCCACGCGATTTCTGTTCTCATCCTGAAGCAAAGTTCTTAACCTGAGGTACTATTTCTGGGTTAGCAGAGTCTGTAACCTGAAGCATCTGTAACCTGAAGCGTCTGTAACATGAAGCGTCTGTAACCCGAGGTACCACTGTACAATACACTGAGCCTTTGCGGATATAAGGTACACATTGAACGGCAGGACTCAAAGGACCGCATATAAGCCTTTGAGCACACAAGGCAAGCTCCTTAGATCCCTATAATGATCTCTCTGGATCTTAACCTGTATAAAATAAATAATCCAGGAGGACTGGTAATTTACTTTTTAAAAAATGGAACCCAGGTTTTAAGGGACTTGTGGAGGTCTGCTCAAATGGCCACACCTTTGACAAAAAAGGCGCATGCACTGACTTACGGCAAAAGTCAAAGCTTCTCCACGGACCGACGTCCACTTCTGCATTCTTGCAGGCGCTGGCATACCGGGCTACTGAGTCACAGAGCTCTGACTGGTTCCCCCCACTCTGGCACAGGCGGAAGAGGCAGGTCCGATAGTAAGCAGAGACATTCACCACTGAGTGGCACTCCAGGAAGGAGCTGTTGGTGGGATCGTTGATGATGCCACATTTCGACCGGCTCCGGTAGTCCTTCAGGAGCTCCGAATCGTTGTTGCAGGCCTTGAGAAGGTCGCCGCACTCCCCGTTGCAAATCTCATTGAAGGTTGTCCAGCTGTCCAGAAAAACCGCCAGGTTGTCCGTGCACTTCCTGTTAGGGAAACAGAATTCGTCGCTGCTGTTCCCGTTGAAAAAGCCACAGAGGCCCCCGGTGCAGTTGAAATAGATAGTTGAGAGGCGTATCTCCAGCATGCCAGAGTCCAAGTACAGGATATGTATGAGCCCTTCGGACTCAACCACGGTCCCGTTTTTGCTGCGGTAGATTTCCAGTTGGCCAGAAGGATGGAAATATGGAAGCTCCATTTCATATCCATTCACCTGCAAAAAGGGGGGACAGGGACAAATAAATGAATGAAGAGGAAATTTGATGAGATGAGCCAATGGTGTCTAGTGTCCATTGGAAATGGGAGGGTGAAAAGCAGGGAGGCTAACAGTAGGTGGCGCCAAAGCCAAGGACAAGCGGAGCCAACAAAGGCTTATCCACATTTCCTCTTGTTCTGCTGCTTTCCTCTGGGGTAAACCGCTCTTTAGCACCCATTTGGAGCAAACGGCAATTGGGTTTTCTGTTGTAGCTCAGTAGCAGAGCACCTCTTTGCCTGCAGAGGAACCCGGGTTCAATCCCTGACATGTCCAGGTAGGGCTGAGAGAGGACTCCTGTCTGAAACCCTGGAGAGCTGCTGCCAGCCAGAGCAGACAATACTGGACTAGATGAACCAATGGTCTAACTCAGTGTAAGGTATCTTCTTGTGTCCCCATGTTCCATCAAAATCCCTACTCCTGTATTTAAGCCTCTTGGCTTAATTGATTACTGGCCTTTCCCTCCCTTTCTTCTCTTCAAAACTGTTGAAATGTGCATTGGAAAGTCCTTGGGCAAGGAAGAACAGGGCTGGCTGTGTCTGCCCAAGCTATTCTCTTCTTCTAAGGGGTTCAGCAGTAGGTTTGGGATGTGGGTAGCTGAATGACAATGCTGGTCAATGGACCACTGGCTTTGCTGAGTGGTAGACTACCTTTGGACATGGAGGTTTCTTATAGCCATCATGGCTAGTAGCTATATGGACTGTCCTTGAAATGGCCTAGTCCCAAAGATGTGGCATTGGTGCAGTAATACAGAGATCTGTAAAGACGCTTTGACACAAAGAAATCACAAGGAGTTCTGCAAATGATCTGTCCAACTCTCTAATTCATGGGTAGGCAAAGTAAAGCCCTGGGGCTGGATCTGGCCCAATCGCCTTCTAAATCCGGCCTGCGGGCGGTCCGGGAATCAGCATGTTTTCACATGAGTAGAATGTGTCCTTTTATTTAAAATGCACCTCTGGGTTATTTGTGGGGCCTGCCTGGTGTTTTTACATGAGTAGAATGTGTGCTTTTATTTAAAATGCATCTCTGGGTTATTTGTGGGGCATAGGAGTTCGTTCATTTTTATTTTTTTCCCCAAAATATAGTCCGGCCCCCCACAAGGTCTGAGGGACAGTGGACCGGCCCCCTGTTGAAAAAGTGTGCTGAGCCCTGCATCTAATTTTTGGGAAGTGATTTGCTCCTGTGGTTGTTGCAGAGCAAACCATTCTAGGCACTCGCACCCCTGATATTTTAAAACAAACAAATCTGAGATGATCACAGTATGCAGGTCAGAGACGCTTGATCTGACAGAGGTGTGTGTGAGACACATTGATCTGCAGATGCAGACATCCAGTGTGTAAACATGCATTTGTTGGAATGAACAGGGGGTGGGGGGTGGAATGAAGCAGGGATGGAGTCTGACTACTAAGCGCGGGTTTGCAAAATCAGTTTTTACAGCAAAATGTCATCACAAAATGTCACCACCAGATTGACGAAAAGGTGAATTTGTTTTTATAATGTCTCTCCTCTGCTTCCTATCACACATTAGCAGTGCTCATACATGCAAGCTAATCGTGTGAGGCAGGTTCGAAGGTGCTGTTTGTGCTGAAAACTGCTTTAAATAAATTGTCCAGTGTGAACGCTTGCTAAAGCACACATCCTTCCACCAGGTGGCAGTGTTGCCTATGCGCATGAGCCTAGGATGTGGAGAGGAGTTTCCCAGTGTTCAAGCCAATGGGGCAGAGGCACTACTGCCTGGGACAGTTAAATCCATCTTGCTCAGCCAAGAAAGTCTGCCAGGTTTCTGCAGGGATCTGGAAGCCTGCAAAATTTAGGGAGGGGGTTGAAAATAAAACTCATAATATCTCTATGGTGTGACCACAACTTGGGTTATTGTATATACATTTCTCGTCTGCTCACCTCGAAAAGGATATTGTAGAGCTGCAAAAAGTTTAGAAAAGAAGGATCAAGGGGATACAGGAACTCCCCTAGGAGGAAAAGTGACTGGGCTTCAGGCTTATTAGTTTGGGGGGGAAAGGTGAGTCTGGGGCAGGGACATGATAGAGGTGAATAGGATTGTGTGGCGATATGTTTGTCTCCGTCTCTTAGGATACTAAAACCTGGGAACATCCAGTGATGTTGAGTGTTAGAAGATTCAGAACTTCTTCACACGGCACATAGTTAAACTATGGAATTTGCTCACACAGGAGGCAGTTATGCCTACAAACTTGGATGGCTCTAAAAGACAAATTCACTAAGGATAAGGCTACCCCTTCTCCTTCAGTTTCCAGTAACTGGTATTCAGAAGCATTGATGCTTCCAGCCGTGGTGGCAGAGCGTAGTCATTGTGGCTAGTAGCCACTGACAGCCTTTATCCTTCATGAATTTGTCCAATAATCTTTCAAAGCCATTCAGTTTGGTGGCCGTCGCTGCTTCATGTGGAAGTGAATATTCATGTGGAAGTGAGTTCCATAGTTAGGGGGCTCCCCACTCTCTTCCTACAGTCCTGACTGAAGTTGCCTAAAATTTCATATTTTATATTTTTGATTTGACATTCAAACATAAAATACAAAAATTAAATATTGAATTATCTGAATTCTCCGACCTCCCTCCTCCCCTCTGTGGAGTCCACCAACAACATTTTCTTCTCCATCTCATACCATTTATCTATATAACTCAAATTTTAACCATAGTCAAAGTTGCCTAAACTTTCTGCTATTTATATATTTTTAAAGCTGCATGTAAATTTTGCTCATGCAGATAACATCATCTCCCTCCCTCCTTCCCTCTCTATATATCTGTCTTTTTAAGAGACACACAATTATTTTAACTGTGAGCAGCACAGCGTCAAGCCGAGGTTGTTTGATCACTCATGTAAACTCATTTTGTGTCTTCCGTCATTAGTGTTAACACTGCCTGATAAAATGCGTATCTGGGGGAGAATGTCAGCGGCGGGTGTAGCTAATGAGACACTCTGCATTTCCTATCACAGATGATCCTCTGTCTTGGCAGGATTAAGAAAAGAACCAACTCTTGTGTTCACCAGGCAGCCAGGACAGGGGGGCAGATGACACGCTCAGTATGAACACACTTGTTATTATTGCTAAGCATTGTTTTGCTGGCTTAGAAGACCTGCATCTTAACCACTGGCTCAGCATCTGAGTGGATATTAGCAAACAATCACATATTTGCAGTACACAATGAATGTTATAGTCAGTTCCACCAGAACTCTTTGCTCTGCTATGTCGGGCTGTGGATCTGTCCAGGCCAAGAGCAGGGAAACTTTTGGGCTCCATGTGCCCGATCCAGGCTTGATTATTGTAACTCACTCTACGTGGGGCTGCCCTTGAGACTGACCCAGAAACTCCAGTGGGTGCAGAGTTCTGCGGCGAGACTCCTTACGGGGTCCTCACCACAGGATCACGTTCACCTGGTGCTATACCAGCTGCACTGGAGTACAGGGTCAGGTTTAAGGTGCTGGTTTTAACCTTTAAAGCCCTATACAGCCTAGGACCCTCGTACCTACGGGACCGCCTCTCCTGGTATGCCCCACAGAGAAACTTACGGTCTTCAAATAAAAACATCTTGGAGATCCCGGGCCACAGGGAGGTTAGGCTGGCCTCAGCCAGAGCCAGGGCTTTTTTGGCCGTGGCCCCAATCTGGTGGAACACTCTGTCACAAGAGACTAGGGCCCTGAGGGTCTTGACATCTTTCCGCAGGGCCTGCAAGACAGAGCTGTTCCACCAGGCCTTTGGCCAAGGCACAGACTGGCCCCCTCTCTCTTTCTGTAATCCTCATAGAACTCTAGCCCAATGGTTGCCATTAATTTGATTCTGAATTGATTTTGTATTTCAATTAATGTATTTCAATTAATTGACTATGATTTTATGTAAACTGTGACATTTTTACTGTTGTTAGCCGCTCTGAGCCCCAGCTTTGGCTGGGGGGGGGATATAAATAAAATTTTATTATTATTATATTATAATTATCAGGATCAGCCTTGCGGGCCACGTTTGACAAGTGGGCACAGCTGCCTACCTGTCAAAATCTATTGTGCTTACTCCGAGGCTTAAAAGTGAACCAGGAAGAGACCAGCAAAGTTTTTTCCACATCTCCCCATGTTTCCCCTTTAAGTCTCCAAAATCAGGGACTTAAATATGGGAGGTGGGGAAACCCCCAGACTGCATTTAGGGGGCACATAAGTGGAGGACAGGGGGAGTCAGAGTAGGACCCTGGGAGATCAGGGTTCAAATCCCCACTCAGCTCTGAAGTTCACTGGAAGACCTTCCACCAGCAGAATTTACTGAGCATTGATACAAGCCAGTACCTTGATTTCAGAGTTGTCTACGCCTCCAATTTTGACTTCCTGGCTGGCAATATGGATGATCAGGCTCCGAAGCCAGTCTGGACTTGATTCCGGTTTCTTTTTGCTGATGTCCACTTCCAGGAAGCTGGGTCTGTCCGGGCAGGTTTTGACCAGCGTGTAGGAGTTGTCTGGGGGGTAAGCGAACGTGACGCCGTCAAAGGTCTGCAGCACCTGATCCTGGGAGACCAGACACAACGTCTCCCTCTTGGGATAGCAGCCCTGGTAGCCATTTTCCACTGCACAGACCTCTCCTTCTTGGCAGGAGGTGTTGAAGCAGGTGACCTCCCCTCCGTCCTCGCACCAACACTGCACCGTGCAGTCCACCGAGGCCCAGAACGACTCTCCAATGGCGTGGTACTGGCCGTCCACATCGCAGCCGCACTGGTGGATCGGGACGCACAGGTCTGTGCTGAGGACGTAGCCCTCGTTGCAGTCACAGCCCTCGGTGCAAGGAGAAGTGCAGGTCAGGGGGGCAGTGAGGTCCGAGCAGGTAGCCGGGCAGCTGCTGGTACACACAGAGTAGTGGCTGGACTCTGGACACTGCACAGCAGCAGCTGGAAGAAGCAAACAAGGGACATTGATTGATTTAGCCAGTTCATTTATTGCATTCATAGTCATTCACAGTCCACCTTTTTCTCCAAGGAGCTCACAGGTGGCACGCATGGTTCCTCTTCTTCCACACAACAATCCTGCAAGGTAGGTTAGGTTGAGAGTGAGTGACTGGCCTGGTGAGCTTCGTGGCTGAGTGGGGATTGGAACCCTGGTTTCCCAGGCTGGAGCCCAACACTCTAACCACTACACCACACAGGCTGTCATTCAGCTTAAGAACATAAGAAGAGCCCTGCTGGATCAGGGGCCAATGGCCCATCTAGTCCAGCAACCAAATGCCCATGCAAAGCCCACAAGCAGAACCTGAGCACAACACCACTGTCCCCACTTGTGAGTCCCAGTGACTGGCATTCAGAGGCTCACTGCCTCTGACAGTGGAGATGGAACATAACCTTTATGGCCGGTAGCCATTCCTAGCTTTATCCTCCATGATAGCTTCTGGGGTTGTGCTGTCTGGGGCTGATGGGAGCTGTGGTTGAAAACAGATGGTCTAATAACGCAACCGATCATTGCATCCTCTTAAGAGTCTCGTTCTGTGTTATGTCAAAATTGGGCTGACAGTGTGGCAGCCTTAGGAACTCCCTGCCACACAAGCACTCCTCTATTGCCTTTCTGGTGCCTGGTGAAGGAGTTCCCCTTTCAGCAAGCCTTCCAAGTGGAGAACTATATCCCCAGTTTGTACTTGTATGGGATTTAAAATGAATTGCTGCTGTTGTTTTGAATTGTGTTTACATATTTAATTGTGTTTTAATCATTACTGTACTATTTTTCTAGAAAAAAGGGTGCCAGAATGCACCGTGAATGCCTCCCTTGTTGGTTGATTCCCTCCCCCCTTTCTTTTTCCTTTTTCCTTTCTCCTCCTGTGATGAGGCTGCATTTTAATATTTCAATGTTTCAATATTTTAATGTTGTATTTTAATCTTGTTTTTATGTTGTATTCATTCAACTTGTTTTTATTATTGCTTGTTAGCTGCCCTGAGCCCAGCCTTAGCTGAGGAGGGCGGGGTATAAATAAAAATTATTATTATTATTGTTCTCTTAGAATGGCAAAGGCGTCCGGCTGAGAGGTGCCTGAAATGAGTTCCAGTGAGCTCTGGCTGAAAAAAAGGCACGTGTTTTATCATTGTTTCTAAATGTTTTTTTTAATGTGAAAGCTGTGTTATTCATGCAGCGGGTCGGGCTGGGTGACCTTTGAAGTCCCTTCCAACTCTGCAATTCCATGGTTCTATGATCATACTATGTGTATTGATTATATTGTCAATCACTTTGGAATGGCTCATGGGAAGCGATTCATAAATGACATTAATCATCATCACATCTGGAAGGCACCAGCTTTAATAAGGCTCTCTTAAGCTAGCAGATGGTTATACCTGAGACACATATCAGTGCTAGTCCAACTCAGAGTAGACCCTGCCTGAAACCCTGGAGAGCTGCTGCCAGTCAGTGCAGGCTATATTTAGCTAGATGCATCAATGGTCTGACTCAGTATAAGGCAGCTTCCTATGTTCACAGTTCCTTTTCCTTTTCTGAGTTGGGCGGGTGCAAATCAAGATGAAGTCGGCTGAATGATACAGGTGACAAGCGAGAGAGAGAGGGAGAGAGGCAAACCAGTACATATGCCCCCAATTTATCCAAGCCCCAAATGTCAGCCGTAAATCCTGCTGTGTCTCTCACTCGAATTCAACGTGGGCACTTAAATTCCTTCCACTGACCCAGCATTGAATTCCACCCAGGGAGCAAAGAACAAGCTAGAGTGGTTTCGCTTCTGCTTGTCCTTTGCTCGCTGCTCCTTAGTTACTTCAAGTGTCCCTTTGTCTTTCCTTGGACTGTAAGCAGGGAGAAGGCTGAATCAGCTTTCATGGCAACAATGCTTACTTGAATCCCAGCCCCTCTTGGCTTTTCTATGTTAAGCTCATTCAGTGTTTGGGTGGAGAGCTTTTTTTCCCTTTCCCCCCAGTGCTCCCATCCAGTGGCGTAGCGTGGGTTGTCAGCACCCGGGGCAAGGCAAGTAATTTGTGCCCCCTAACCCGTGGATTTGCGCCCTCTAACCCGTGGATTTGCGCCCCCTAACCTGTGGATTTGCCCTAACCCCAGATGTTGCGCCCGGTGCGGCCGGCCCCCCCCTGCACCCCCCACGCTACGCCACTGCTCCCATCAACGTTTCTTGAAGGCTGCTGAAACCACAGCTCTTCTCAGAAAGGGAATCCAGCGAAAGTTAACCTTACATTCCCTGTCCTCAAGCCTGGGTACAAGCAACTGCTCTGTGGCACAGCCACTTGCTCTGTCCTCGCCTCTCCTTTTCCTGTGTATGTGGTGAAGAGCCTTGTTGAGCAAAGGATTGTTACGATGTGTGCTGCTTGGAAGGGTGAATAACGAAGCAATATGGAAATGTCTTAAGTGAAGAAATCTAAATGTGCATCGAGGACACTAGATCAGTTCGGCGTTAACATGCATGCCAGAGAATGGTGGAAGACTCCAATTCTCTTGTCAGCCTGTCAGTTTTTCTCCAAAAACACAGCAATGCTGATGGGGGACAAAGAAGGGTAGAGGGAAATCTGTGGAACTCACTCCCACAGGAGGCAGTGATGGCCAGGAGCTTTGTGGGCTTTACAAAAGGGTTAGACAAATTCATGGAGGAGATGGCTAACAATAATGCGCTCTATGTGGGGCTACCTTTGAAGGTGAACCGGAAACTACAACCAATCCAGAATGCGGCAGCTAGACTGGTGACTGGGAGCGGCTGCCGAGACCATATAACACTGGTCTTGAAAGACCTACATTGGCTCCCAGTACGTTTCCGATCACAATTTAAAGTGTCGGTGTTGACCTTTAAAGCCCTAAATGGCCTCAGCCCAGTATACCTGAAGGAGCGTCTCCACCCCCATCGTTTTGCCCGGACGCTGAGGTCCAGTGCCGAGGGCCTTCTGGCGGTTCCCTCATTGCAAAAAGCAAAGCTACAGGGAACCAGGCAGAGGGCCTTCTTGGTAGTGGCGCCCGCCCTGTAGAACGCCCTCCCATCAGATGTCAAAAAGATAAACAATTACCTGACATTCAGAAGACATCTTAAGGCAGCCCTGTTCAGGGAAGTTTTTAATGTGTGACATCTTAGTGTATTTTTGGTCTTTGTGGAAGCCGCCCAGAGTGGTCGGGGTACAAATAAATAAATAAATAGTAATAATAATAATAATAATAATAATAATAATAATAATAATAATAATTGCTGTCTGCCTTCACTGTTGGAGGCCTTCTGCCTTTGAATTAACTTGGGCTCGTAGGTGGGCAGACTGCTGTTGCACTCGTGTCCCCCTTGCAGGCTTCCCACAAGCATCTGGTCAGCCTAGGGTTTCCCAAACTTGGGTTTCAGCTGTTTTGGACTACAACTCCCATCATCCCTAGCTAGCAGGACCAATGGTCAGGGATGATGGGAATTGTTGTCTAAAAACAGCTGGAGACCCAAGTTTGGGAAACCCTGGGTTGGTCACCTTGAGAACAAGAAGGTAGAATAAATGGACCATTGGCCTGATCTAGCATGGCTTGTCCAATGTTCTTATGTTGTTAAATGTGGGTTTGTACCCAATGCTACTCAAAGACTCATCAAAGTTAATGGGCATGACTAGCTTAGATCCATTAATTTCAGTGGGTCTATAAAGTCTATAAGGTGGCACTGTGGGTTAAACCACAGAGCCTAGGACTTCCCGATCAGAAGGTCAGCGGTTCGTATCCCCGCGACGGGGTGAGCTCCCATTGCTCGGTCCCTGCTCCTGCCAACCTAGCAATTCAAAAGCATGTCAAAGTGCAAGTAGATAAATAGGTACCACTCCAGTGGGAAGGTAAATGGCATTTCCGTGCACTGCTCTGGTTCGCCAGAAGTGGCTTAGTCATGCTACGCCGGCTCCCTCGGCCAATAAAGCGAGATGAGCGCCGCAACCCCAGAGTCGGCCACAACTGGACCTAATGGTCATGGGTCCCTTTACCTTTAGCTATGATGAGTAGGACTTAGTCAGAGACAATCCTTGTTTTGCACCAGTGGCCCTGCTTCTTCCTCTTTTTACAAAAATTAAATAAATCACAAATTGACGAGATGTGGAGAACTGAACTGAAGACTGGGAAGACGAGGAACTGAGAGAAATGGAAATCAACAAATCTACCCATTCCTTGGGATGATGGGAGTTGTAGTCCAAGCATGGCCCCTGTTCCCGTCCTGTTTGCTCCTGGAAGTTTGCATCTTTCTGAAGCTCCATTGTACGCCCACTTACCGCATCCTGTCTGTGCTCTCCACTCTCCGATGGGGATGCCAAGGGCTTGGCAAACCAAGGCATAAGCCTGAATGGCTTGGCAGAGCCCTCCGGTGCCGTTATCTCGGATGCTACACAGGTCGTAAACACAGCTGTGGACAAAAGCCGTAGGGTCAACGATGGCACCACATTCCCAGAGAGGACCTCCAGTTTTGTTGATAAAGCCACAGTGCTCGGGGCCAAAATAGAGGGACTCGGTCGCTGCATCGCAAAGGCTGCAGTTGTCTAAGCAGCCTGGGGAGCACTTCCATTCAGGGTGATAGACCCGCCAGCTTTCCCCCAGATCCAGCACCGACGTGGCCATTTTCCCATCCGAGCGCAGCACATCGTCCTCGGGGTTCTTGTTGTAGTTCCCGCAGAGGCCACATGTGGCATTGATGTAGGAGCCTGGGACAGAAATAGCAGCATAATGGTCTCCATCGTAGGTCACTAAGAGGCCAAAGTCTGTTTCTACTGCTGTCGACAAACCACTCTGGTAGATTTTTATGGCCCCCAGTTCCAGGAAAACGGGTAGAGACATAACCAAGTCATCTATCTGCAGGATGGGTAAAAAATACAAAACACTGTTTGTTTTCTTTTATTAGAAATATATAAAAACAGAGAGGAGGGGACATAGGGAGAGGGAGCGGGGAGGGGGGGAGAGGAGTGTCCAAAAAGTATTTATTTACTATTTTATAACAAACCTTCTGCTAACCTGACCATTATTATTTAATAATAATGGCTTGCATTCAATGCAGTGCTCAGGAACCATCCTGCCACCACAAGGATCTCTGCTTGTGCAACAGGATTCCCCCTCCCCCTTCCACTGCACCCACCCACCCCCTTCTCAGATCCGCTCTGAAGAGTTGGGGGAACCCCAAATAGGTTTAGGGGCACACAGTGGGGGGTGGGGAGCGAGAAAAGTCCTATTGCACAAGGGGAAATCCTGCTACTCATGGGAAGCTTACATAGGGCTACATTTGATGCAATCCAACATTATGAGTCACAGAGCCCCTCAAATTTATTAAGCACTGCACAGAGACGCTATCCAGATGTGAGGGGGGGAAATGCTGCAATCTGGAATTCAATCAGAAAGTTCAGTTTTGGATCCCGCTATCCTAAAGGCAGGAATGACCTTGGGGTGGTGACAATGCTTTGTTCTCCAAACCATAACCTGGAGGTGTTCTGCTTCATAACTGAGTTGGTACCATCCAGCCAGAAAGAGTGTAATACAGCATATACGCTCAAGCATAGCAGTACATAGGAAGAGGCCCATTTACATCTTGTGTATAAAAGGGGTGACATTGAAGTGTGAAGGAAGATGTAACAGTGTATTTCTGAAGAACTTTAAAAACTTTGGGTGCGAGGTCCACTGGGAGCTAGGAAAAAGGCTCCTTCAGCTTTATCTAGCCCAAAGGCCATCAGTTGACCACCCCTGTCTGAAAGGAGCGTTCAGACAGTAGCTACACACACTTCTCCAGATGAACTGAAAACCACATGAAATGCCGTTTTAACGTCAGAATAAAAACCTAGAAAGGATAACCCCAGTATTAATGACAGAAGCCTGCAAGGAACAGTGTTAAGTGGATTCTGAGCTAATATTTTATGTATTGTTATACAGGTTTTGCTGCTTTACAAATGAAATATTTCTCCAAACAACCCTGATATTATTTAAACATCCACCTCCCTCTCCAACTGGCTGACTGACACCACTACAACCAGCACCACCAGCGTTCTTATTCCAGTGCCATTTTTCCTTTTCAAACTTCTTCCTGGTTAATTCCCAGCCAACAAAGGGTCAAATGTAGTGGTGTCATGGCATTATGTAGCCAATCAGAGCTGGATACATGACAACTTCTCTGAGGCTGAGCGCAACAGCTCGGGAAGCACTATCCTAACTTTGCAGTCCCTGAAAAATTGCCAAAAGGGTGGTGGTTGATTTTTGCTGCCAAAAATGTTTGTGAAAATATCCCATTTTTTCAGTCTAGCTCTAGTTTTAAATGGGGTTGGAGGAGAAATTCAATACAGTTCTCTTTTGAAGATGAAGTGGCTTAATTTGCTCTTTCCAAAACAATGTGTGGACAGAAACACAACCATCCTTTGAAATTTGCACACATCTCCAAATTTGGCAAAACATTTCTTCAGCCAAGTAATATGCACACTGCATATGACTGAGTAAAGTGTGCATAAAATAGCACGTATTAGTGAAAATATCGTGTAAAAATGCATTATATGAAGCTAAACTTTTCTGTGAACTGCCCTGAGACCTCCGGGTATAGGGCAGAATATAAATTCGAAGAAGAAGAAGAAGAAGAAGAAGAAGAAGAAGAAGAAGAAGAAGAAGAAGAAGAAGAAGAAGAAGCAGCTTTGCAAAGAAGTGTGCATTGGGAGAAATCCACTCTAAAATGCTGATGAATTTTCATGACTTAAAACAAATAAATAAATCACAAAAAGAAGTGGAAATGTGGAGAGCTGATCCTTAAGACTGGAAAAGTGAGAAATTGAGCGAAACCAAAATTGACGTATTCGCTGGTCCCTAATTTTAAATGAATCAAGGACCCTTAATTGAATTTTCTCCCCATAATGAAAGACTTGACTCTCACCATAATTTTCCCAAAGCTGCCTTTGGGGATGACTATCTTGTGCGAATAAACCTCAACAGAGATGTCCTTTAGCCAGGAAACAGAAGAGCCACCTCGATTCTCATTCTTGGCTTCCACGCTAAAGAAAGGGAGGATGGATCCTGGCCAACACTGCCTGGCTAGGAGGTAGGAGCAAGAACCCTGGAAATGGAAGAGGAAGCCATCGAAAGTGTGGTAGTGAGGGTCCCCGAAGACCACACAAGTGCTGCTTTCCACTGGCACACACTGGTAGAACTTATCCTTTGGCTCACAGAGTTCGTAGGGGCCGCAAGACACCTCCTGGCAAAATATCTCATTGTTGAAATCCAGGCAACGACATTTGATGGAGCAGTTTGCGCTTTCCCAGAATATCTCTCCTTGACGGAGAAACTGGCCTAAAAGAATAAGAACAAGAAAAAGAATCAGCCCATTTTGTAGCAAAGATCTGGATGCAACAATGTTTTACTCCGAGTACATCAATTTTAAACACACACACACAAACACACTTCAAATGATAGCAATCCTGAATTGCAAAAGCTGCTTAAATTTAGTAGGTGTCACTTCTACGTTCATAGCATGAGAAGACGAAAACGCAACATGTTCAAATCGCAGTGCATTGACCACAATTAAGCTCTGACAAAGTCTTCTGGCACCAACAAATTACTACATCCGTGCAGCGTGAATTACATCTCAAATACGCCAGCGCTGCTGTAACTGAATTCTAGTAACAATTGGGTGAGTTATGTTTGCAACTCAAGGGGCATTAATTTGCAATTGCTTAGTTAGGCTCATTTTCCTCCAATATGAATTAGCAGTAATTAAACATCAAGCAGCATAATTTTGAAGCAACAATACTTCATGATAGACACGGCATTACAGAAAATAAACCACTGTGTGTGTGTGCTTATCTATAATACAAAATTTTGAATTCCTTACATCAGGGGTGGGATATGTTTTTCAGCCTGAGGGCCACATTTACTTCCAGACAAACCTCTGGGGGAGATATGCTAGTGGTGGGTGGAGCAACGAAGCTGAATTTTGCCTTTGCACAGTAGGCCAGTTTCCACACATACCCACACACATCTTTGTTTGCCATCCAAACAAGTAAGAAATATTATCAGAGTTCAAAGACACGTTGCTGCCCTGGGTTCCTCTGGGAGGAAGGCTGGGATGTAAACCGAATGAAATGAAATCAAATGAAATAAATAATTCTAGACAGGCCAAAGAGGAGGCACAACTGGCGAGGGGTGTGGTCTTGGGATTCTAGATTCTGCTGTCCGCAGGTTACTTGATTCGGGTTGGAAAACCCTCCCTTTGATTAGGTTACCCAAGCCTTTTCCTCCTGGCACATGTCCCAGGTGAATGAAGAAGAGAGTGGCAATTGTAATTTTGGGAAAGGCCACCTCCCTGCTGAACGTCGCTGGGCAGGCGTGGATACACTCTTTTCCCACACCTGTTTTCACATGGAACACACTGTGGGGTAATGCTGAATCAATTTTCAGAATGAAACCAGTGTGGCGATCACACAGGGTCCCCGGAAGTTTGACGGTCTATTGATCCCTGTGCCACCACTGTGATCGCTTCTGCGCTGCCACCAACCCGTTTCTCTCGGGTACACACAGAGTCCAGACAGTTGTTAACATTAAACCAAATAAACAAGTTTATTTTATAAGCATTATCAGATAATTTTTCTTGTCAGTTTCTTAATCTTAGTTTCTTTACCGGCCTATACCTCCCTAATAACTTCTAACTGATTACCCCAACTGTCTATCTGACTCCTCTTAACAGATTCTCTCACTCTCTCACATCAAACTAGCCCAACCCACAGACTTATCTTCCCTCTCTCTTCTCTAACACCCGACTGACTCCCCAACAACTCCAACTCTAACTCCAACTCCTCCCCTTGGGTTCCTACTGGCCAATCACTTCACACTCATTTAACCCTTTCCTTATGACCCAGCATGATATCACACACCTGGGAGAGCAAACGCCACAACCAGCTTTTCAGGGGCAAAGAAATATGCAATAGTTGTAGGTTGTGTATGGTCTGCAATAGCTAAAACCAGTACTCAGCCTCCATTAAGTCTAGAATAAAGTGTGTCTGCAGCTGAAGTTCCCTTGTCATTTCCACCATATTGAGCTTGGGTCATTGCCTGGGCACCATCCAGACTCTGGTATAGGGCTCACTAGCTTTGCTTTAGGTATCTCTGCCTCTCAACCTGCCTGTTCCTCCTTTATCTCCCTCCATCCATGCTTCCATGCTTGCCAGCTTCCCCATCTGTTGGCTTGCCTTCATTCTCATCCCAACCCACTCCTGCCCCTGAGCTTTGGACAGGCTTCCCAGCTCAGCTTCTGGCTTGCAGTCGCCTCTGCCTCCAGGCTGACCCTCCTGTCTGTGGGTCAGCCCTGGGGCTCCCCAATCCAACATGGCCAGATGGACAGACGCATGTTCTGTTCCCTGCAGTGTGCAGACAGGTGGCAGAGAAAGAATATTCTCAGACCTGTGGCAGAGAAAGGATATATGCTCTTTTAAATTCCTAAACCGCTAATGCGATAATCTCCCTGCACTCAAGTCCCTGTGGGGTGGCAGAGAGAGTTTTGGTCCTGTTTATACTGATGCTCTCACACACATTATGCAGGGAGGCCTGTTAACGCATCTGAGATCCATAATTCAGGAGCCGGGGAAATGTTTGATCAGCCATAGCATCTTTTCAAGGCGATGGCATTTCCAACGGAGTGTGCAGGAGGGGCTCGCTTGTTATCAGCTAGCATGTTGTGTTTGTAAAGATAAGGTTAATAGGATCCCTATCAGTGCTGGTATTTTAAAAATCTAGCACAAGAGGACCATAACTTAATAGAAAAGTAGTAATGAAGTGGCGGCGGCCTTGTGGTGTGGTTCTTGTTGTTTTGATTCATCTGTTAGTTGCAAATTACGTGAGCACAATCTGCACATTTTCTCTGTTAGCTGCAAATTGTGAGAAAGCCTCAGTGTCTCAGGACATGCTGGGGCAGATAAAGAATGGATGGGGAACAGTGGTGATTGGTGTCTGTTGGGACTGATAGGGTGCAAGGCCGGGAGACCACCTGTAGGTGGAGCCAGAGGCAATATCAGGAAGAGCCAACTGATTCTAGTTTTGTCCCCATCCTCCTCCTTCCTGCTGGGTTCTACAAGGGCAACACTGAGATTAAGGAGAAGGAAGATGACAGCCTGGGATTGTCCCAGGAGGGTGGGAGCTGGCTGAGACCAAGCAGAGATTGCCCACTTGCCCAAATCGACCATCCTCTACTGATGAGGAAACTGTGGTCCTTTCGTTTTTCTTAGGCATTATGCCCAAAGGTCACGAGATGTTGGGGAGTGGTAGCCCAACAACATCTAGACAGCCGTGGTTTTTTTTTTTAATAAAACAATTTTTATAGACTGCTTCAAAGCACAGAGCCAACCTACATGGTAAAAGCAAAATAAAACACAGAAACACAAGCTCATAAAGCCCATCCAATGAACTCTTAAACAATAAAACCATCCAAAGAAACTAATATAAAAACTGATGCTCTGTGGATGCCTCTGTTGATGTTCACGGCTCATCTGTGGCCCTCTGGCTGTTGTTAGACTGCAGCTCCCATTGGCTCCAGCCAGCTTGCCCAACGCTCAAGGATGCTCAGACAGTAGAACTAGAGACTCTTATTCTCAGGGTCGTGGGTTCGAGCAATATGTTGGGCAAAAAAGATTGCAGGGGGTTGGACTAGATGACCCTTGTGGTCCCTTCCAATGCTACAGTTCTATGATTCTATGATGTGAGCCTAGCCATATCTGGAAGACTACAGGTTCTCCACCGTTGCTATAAACGGAAGTGCCCTCGGAATTCATTGCTGCTTTCACTTCAAAAAGACTGACCTGGCTCGTGTTTCCCATTAATTGCTACTACCAGAGATAAGAAAGGAAGTGAGAGAACAATGCAACCTACTAGCATTAAATGAGATCAATTTTTTTAATGTAGGAGGCTCTTAGCGGTCTCCACTGCATTTGTCCTTTATTATCAGACAGGTTAAGATAATGACTGTAAGGTACTCTGCACTAATTAACATCAACATTACCAGCGAGAATGAACAAATATTAACAAATTATGACAATTCACTACCACGCTCTCATAGCTTATTGCTCTCCCTGCCATCCCTTCAAACTACAGTTCCTATAATTCCTTCAGGAGGGTCACCACAGGGATGCAAGAAATTCCTCCAAGCAATTTCACAGAACCTTTCAGCTCCCCTTGTAATTCTGTGGGTGTTCTGCCTGAGTAGGAATTTACTTTAAGTTTCTCAGTTTAGGATGAAATGTGATGACAACCCCAGTTAGGTAAAGGTAAAGGGACCCCTGACCATTAGGTCCAGTCGTGACCGACTCTGGGGTTGCAGCGCTCATCTCGCTTTACTGGCTGAGGGAGCCGGCGTACAGCTTCCGGGTCATGTGGCCAGCATGACTAAGCCGCTTCTGGCGAACCAGAGCAGTGCACGGAAACGCCGTTTACCTTCCTGCTGAAGCGGTACCTATTTATCTACTTGGACTTTGAGGTGCTTTCAAACTGCTAGGTTGGCAGGAGCAGGGACCGTGCAACGGGAGCTCACCCCGTCACAGGGATTCGAACCGCCAACCTTCTGATCGGCAAGTCCTAGGCTCTGTGGTTTAACCCACAGCGCTACCCGTGTCAACAACCCCAGTTAAACAGGCTTAAAAGCAGAGATATGCTTGTAGCACAGATGTGGCCTGCCCTCTTACACTGTTGTAAGTAATGAATAAGGTTCATTGTTCATGCACAGGTGTCAAGGCAGGGACGTCCCTCCCGCCCAGGACTAATCTTACCTTAGAGTTATCCAGGTGATCTTTGGCAATCTGCTATTCTCTCAGGGCCCAGCCTGCAGTATGGAGACTATATTGGCCTACTTTACAAGGTTATTGTAAGACAGCCTTCCTCAGCAAGGTGCTCTCCAGATGCTTTGGACTACAGCTGCCATCAGCTCCAGCCAGCACAGCCAATAGTCAGGAAACATGGGAGTTGTAGTCTAAACCTTCTGAAGGGCACCAGATTTGGTGGGAGGGTGTTTTAAGGTTTGTGGGACTGGTGCCATCACTTTCTGTTTTTGAGCACTAGGAAGAAACATTGATACTCAACAACTCCATTGGATCTTAAATTTCTCTTAGCAGGGTGAAGTGTCATTGGATCTCTATCATCTATCATCTATCTATATCTATCTATCTATCCATCTATCCATCTATCCATCTATCATCTATCTATCTATCTATCTATCTATCTATCTATCTATCTATCTATCATCTATCATCTATCTATCTATCTATCTAATCTATCATCTATCTATCATCATCTATAGATTTGTGTATTTGGGGTTGTTTTTTTACCCTAGGTTTTTAATGTGTTCTGTGTCCTTTTTTTTGTAAGTTGCTTTGATTTTCATTATTTGAACAAAAAAGAAAGAATAAATAAATAAATAAATAAATAAATAAAATAAACAAATATAATAAACAAATATTTAATATGCATTGTGAGTTTTGAACGCATATGTCAAACATTGCCTGGTTGCAGAGGCTGCCTGCCACAGGAGGTATTCATTGCTGCAAAACACTGCCCAAAACACTGATAGTCAGTGTAGTCAACAGTATAGTCTCTTTCAGCTTCTGCCTTCTGGAAGAAGATACAGGGTTATAAAGACTAGGACTTGCCGCCTCAGAAACAGTTTCTACCCAAATGTGATTTTGGTTTTAAACGCAGTATAAGGAGTCTCTATAGGAGTATATTGTATTTAAAAATGAGGTATCAGGGTTTTTAGGGGGCTAACCAGGTTGGGATAGCTGGGATAACAGGCTTGTTGGTTTTTGAATGTCTTATGTAGATTTTTCAATTTCGTTGTTCTGTATGGGACAATGACAATAAAGATATCGTATCGTATCATATTTTGCTGCCTGGATCAAAAGTTGGAAACAACACAAAGTGGGATTTTCAAAAAATTATTGCTTACCTCTAAAACTGCACCCATTGGCGGGGTCAATTTCCCTCCCATCGATTCTGAACACCCAGCGGCCCGGCACATTGACGTTGGTTGTGTCTTCTATGTTGGCTATATCTGGGGTTCTGGAACCAGGTATGCTGAAAAAGTTGGTGCTATTTCCACCGTTGAAGCCAGCCTACAATACAAAGGGGAGAGGGGGTCAGGGAATGAGTAAAAGGCCGCAGCCATGGTTGGCCCACCCATGAGGCAAGGTGAGGTGGTTGCCTCAGGCAGCAGATCCAGCCTCTACTGCAGCTGCATTTTATGCTATTTTGTTCCTTTTAGATCACAGCACACCCCTGTTTTCCAGGGTAACTAAGCGTTGCACATAAAACTCACCAGGGTTAATATCAGCAGTGTTACAACTATGTTTTCTGTGCCTGGCGTTCTATTGTATGATGCAATTATTAGTAATTTTATTGCTGTGGTTTTCTGGGGGGTTTTTTGTACTTATTTTGGACATTTGCACAAAGTTTCCTTCTGAATATTGGTCACTGGCCTTCATCAAGAGATAGATGAACTGATTGATGGAACTCCTTGTCAGGATATAGTTCTGTTTCACCTTAAAAGGGAGAGGCATTATTGTGTGTCACATGCCTGTTTACATTTCCAGCACAGTCTGCTGGGAACTTCCGTTTGTATATAGCTTTTGTGTTACTGCTGTTTTGCTGGAGACGAAGGGAAGCAGACATGTTTTCCTTTGCTCCTGAACTGTGCTGAATAAAATGCTGTACATTACACTTACACATTTCTTTGTCCGCCTCTTCTGCTGTGAGAAGATTTACATACTCTGCTGACAGAGCGTGCACGGGTCTCTAAACGTATCTGAGGCTCGTGTTGCTGACCAATGCTGTTCTTAGGGAGACCGGTGATCGTGATCGTCCGGCTGCCGGACGGTGGCTGGAGCCAGCTGGGGGCCTGCCTGATGTCCCCGTCTCCCCAGCAGTATCCCAACACTCCCATCAGTAGTGATGACGAGTCCTGATCCAAAACACCCAGAAAGCAATGCAGCGGGGAAGGCAGGTGCAACCTTTTGTGGAGCAGGGTACACTTTGTCAGCTGCGCGGTTATCTTCAGTTGGCAAGCGTATGCCTAAGCATGTGTGATACACACACACTTGGGCACCGAGTGGGGGAAATTGCAAAATGCAGTGGAAAATGGCAAGTGCAATAAAAGTAGAGTGTCTTGCAATTCAAGGAGAGCTTAAGTGGGGAAATAAACACAGCGACTATTCATGAAAGTGGTGGCCCATGATATGCCTCCGATGAAGTGGGCTTCATCTTCTAGCATCTATCATACAGCTTATGGTGGAACAAATTCGTTAATCTTTTAGTGCTACAAGACTTCTGTTCTTGCTGCAACTGGAATAAGAACATAAGACGAACCCACTGGATCAGGCCAGCAATGGCCCATCTAGTCCAGCATCCTGTTCTCACAGCAGCCAATCAGATGCCCGTAGGAAACTCTCAAGCAGGAACCAAACGCAGGAACCTCTCTTCTTCTGTGGCTTCCAACAACTGGTATTCAGAAGCATTTTTGTCTCTGTGCTGAAGCAAACACTGAACTTACAGGGAAAGGCCATGGCTCAATGGAACAGCAGCTGTTTTTGTGCAGAAGGTCCTAGGTTCAATCGCCATCCTCTGCAGGTAGAGCTGGGAATATCCCTTTGCTTGAAACCCTGGAGAGCTGCTTCCAGCCAGCATGGACAATATTGACCTAAATGGGCCAGTGGTCTGGCTCGGTCTTTTTCTTTGAACCACACTCTGAACTGTGAGTAGTGACTCTGGCATTCTATTCCTATTGTGATTCCTATTGCTACTAGCCACAGGACCACCAGGTTTGATGAGCCATAGAGGAATGGATGGACGGATGGACAGACGGATGGATTCAGCTCTTCCTCCAACTCCTTTACTTCTCCCCAACTCCACAGTGCCGTATCTATCACTAAGATCTTTGCCACAGGGCAAGGCACAGGCCCACTTTTCAAAATGGGCCCTGCCTCCAGTTTCCTCAGGCTGAACATAGCCTCTGGGCCTTGAAGGGGAGGAGGAGAGGAACATGTCCCTTCTTCTCAACTCGGATGCTACAGGTGGAGAAATAGGCAGCACGGCCCCTCTCTGGAACTTGGGACCTTTTTTGGGGGGGGTGTTAGATACTATTCTCTACACCCACAGAGCTGCCTGTTTTTTCCTCATGGATGCCAAGCACCAAAATGGTCACTGGAGAAGACAGCCTATGGAGAGAAACTCAAGTTCCTACCTGAGCCATCACACCACCAAGGCCTGTCAGAGGGTCTCCTCCACTTGCAGTCCCTGTGGTCCAGTTGATTTCCTCATAGTTGAAGATGGCAAATGAGGATGTTCCATCTGAGACCAGGAGAGCCTGGAAGGTGTTCACCTGTTTGAAGCACAAATGCTTGTTTTAGACAGTGAGATAAATGTTTCTCTTTGGCCAAGCTTTTCCTTTGAGTTTGAATAATTTCTCCAAACAATTAAAAAAAATATAAACAAATAAGTGCAACTTTTTAATTTATGAAATTAGGGCGCAACATCTTAAGCACACCAAATTTCAATATTTTCTTTTCTAGTCCCTAAAAGCCCAACAGCACCTTTAGTTGGCTGAAAACATTTAGTACTGAAAACATTTAAATTGGGATATTATCTTGACATTTTGTAAGCAAGACAGAGCAGAGCAAAGAATTAGTCTGCCCCCCCCAATGCACACACTGAATTTTCGTTCCGCTGTTGATTCAACCTCAACAGATGTTGCTCCAACAAAAATATCTTAATTTACCCATTTTGTACTTTTTACATCCTATAGATGGCAGTGTTAGAATAAGCACTGAAAAACACGACTAAAACTTTGTTCTGGAACTTCTGGTATCAGCCTTCCCACCATCACATTTTTATCCATACAAGTGTTATCTTATTCGGTTACCTTCCCTATTCAGATAGTATAATAATGCAAACCCTGGCTTTTGTAGAACAGTAAACAGGATTTTGCACCAAAACCTAGGCAACAGAATATGTTGGCCATTGATTTGTTCGTTTATTTAAGTTTAGAAGACCTTCCTACTTGGAAGAGAAACGAAAAGGGCCTGGGAATTAATCTAATAGTGAATAGATTTCAAATCCACAACCAGGAGAGGCTGGTCTGGACTGAATGTGCCAATAATAATAATAATAATAATAATAATAATAATAATAGAATAGGATGTCCCTATTTTCATTGGAGGGTATGCAACTTAAGTTTGAGAAGTTTCAACAGTTAAAACAAATGCTATATTAGATAGGCACGGAAATGCTTCAACTGCAATAAGCCCATTGATAGTCTATGTGGTTTGCCCCAGTAGTATGCTAAAAAAACACAAGACTGGGCTGTCCATAATGTGCAAGTTAAAAGGTGGCGGCAGTAAGCATAGCTGTCTGGATCTGTCCTCCTGGGACTTGTCTCACAGGGATGCAGAGTGGTCAGGCTAACGAATCAATGCCTGTTAAAGCTGCTTTAAAGTCTCCTCATGCAATTGGAAGTTCAAAATACGAAATCACAGAATATTAAAATAGTCCAGCAGATGATACATCAAACGGCAGCCGCTCAGAGCCGCTTGCTCAACCAGAGTTAAAATAGCTCCGCTTCGGAGAATTAAATGCATGAGATTCCAATTTACATCGGGTCGGGATACTGCCCAGTGCCTGGAAGAGGCCCAATTTCAAAGCAATTTTGGCAGTGTGTAACTTCTCCTTTTATGGCCCCTCCATGACATGTGTTTTATAGAACCTCCTATTTCAACCACCATAAAAGTGGGCCCAGCGGACCAGCTCTCTCCTCCCTCCGGCCGGCATCCTTAATTCCCCTGACTTTAATGGAATGATTAAACCAAGAACCAATTTGGCCCAATAAATCTAAAACCCACAGTTGTGAACCAAATGCTCCTCTTAACTTATGAAGCCATTTCCCTTGGCTTGTATTTTTGGGTGGAAAGGTGGAGAATGAGTTGGGTGTCTGGCTTTTACAGCCCATCAGTTGATGATGATGATGTTTTTCAGCCCAATCAATACATACACTGATGTTTGTCCAACCACTTTCCGGTATGATAAGGTAAGCACTAAAAAAAGAGAGAGTTTTCCTCCCTCACCCTCTTTATTTTTTAAAAAAGAAAGAGACACCATCCTGCAATGTCCTTCAGAAGATGTGTTGGGACAAAGGTGAGGTCTGGACCAGGGATGACATGTTTGCAGCTGACATCCTTAACTAGAGGTGTCCCTACAAAGTCCCCCCCCCAATTTCACAGTCACATTGACACTATACATTTAAAGCACATGATGTCTCTCAAAGAATCCTTGGAACTATAATCTACCTCTTGCAGTAAGGCATTTCCCAGCGCCCTTAACCAACTACAATTGGTTTTGGGGATGGAAGGTGCTTTCAATGCATGGTGTAAGATGTGGTGACAAACAGGGCTTATTCCCCAATAACGATGCATCATCATCATCACCATCATCATCATACCTTTATTGTCAATGTACAACCTGTGTACAATGAAATTGCAGGCTTAGTTGCAATGAACTTCAGCTGGATCATGTTCAATTTATATTACTGATCTCATTTATTGATATATCCCACCTTTTCCACTCAGCAGACCCACAACATTCCCTTCCGTTCCCCAGGCTGGAACACCACAGGGAAAACTCAGCTGCGCTCTGCTTCCAGTTTATCAGCTCCAGACCTTGTGCTTGGAGCTGTCAAGCGCTGCCAGGGCTCAAACTGGGAAGCTTTGCATCTCTGTGCAGCTGGGGTGAGTCACTGAACATCAAGGGTGCAACATCGTGCAATGAGGTACCCTGAGGTCCTGGGGCTGACTCCAGCCAGCCAACTGGACAATGGATCTTCCTCATTTTCAGCAGCCTGGGCTCCAGCTGGGAGGGGCCGTTTGGCTCTGCCAGGCAGTAGCACTGAAGGAAGAAACCAACCCAAGCCCCAGCACCATATCCAGGCCTGAACCACAGCTTGAGAAGAAGAAGAGTTTGGATTTGATATCCCGCTTTATCACTACCCTAAGGAGTCTCAAAGCGGCTAACATTCTCCTTTCCCTTCCTCCCCCACAACAAACACTCTGTGAGGTGAGTGGGGCTGAGAGACTTCAGAGAAGTGTGACTAGCTCAAGGTCACCTAGCAGCTGCATGTGGAGGAGCGGGGAATCAAACCCTGTTCACCAGATTACGAATCTACTGCTCTTAACCACTACACCACATTGGCTCTCATCAGCTCAGTGACTCTTGAGTCAGGGACTTCTGAACGGGGACCTCCAGTGTCTATACCCCAGGCCAGCATCTTCCCTGCCCAAGGAACCAATTTCCCCTGTGGCAGAGACCACATTGTCAACACAGGCAACAATTGTGGAGGGAACTGTCAGAAAGGAGGAGGAGGTGGAGTTCTGGGCTGCAAACCAATGCCCTGCCCCTTTTAAGATCTTCCATGTCTCAAAGAAAGTGCAGAGCCTGGGAAGGATGATCTGGCCCCGGAAACATAACAGCCTTTAGCCCACTGTTGGGCTTTGTTGGAATACTTTGCTTACTAGGGGATGCATCCAGCGTTTTCTGTGCGCCAGCACAAGGGCTCTTGCACATGAGTATTCATGTTGAGCAACAGAAGAATCCAATGCAGCAGTTGCACTAGCGGAAACTCATTGCACAACAGATTGTGAAGTCTATTGCACAATAGAGTCACCAGAATGCTTATGAGTTTTTTTTCAGAACACCATTCTGCAAGGGTACAAACCAAAACCATTTGACACTGGGGGAAAGGCAATGTTGCTACAAGTTCCATTGAAAGGGATGAATGTCACCCTCCTCCCCCGCCTTAAGTGTCCATATTCTTTTATATTGTGTATGTAAATCTTCAGTGTCTTTTCCTCGCCGTTTTGTGTGAAGGATGGTGCTGTTCAAAACAAATTGCACTGCGCCGCAAATGCAATTCCCTCTCCCCAAAACAATCCATGCTTCCTCAACCTTGCTGCCTCCTCCAGACTTTTTGAATTGAGCGAGAATGAGATTGGTAAAGGTCGTTTCAGGAAAGGCAAAGAAGCACGAAGGAGCATGCCCTTTGGTTGCAGCTGATTTGAAAGTGTTGCTTCAGAGCACAGCCACAGTTTCCCAGTGGAGACAGCAGGGGAAACAAACAAAGCAACAACATCTGCCCCCCCCCCCGGAAAAATAAAACCGTGGCCCTCCTTAGTGGGGGCATCTCATAATGTTTTATTTGGGTATCATGTAAGTTGATCAGGTTTGAAAAATGGCTGAAAGGTAGGGTAAAGGTAAAGGTAAAGGGACCCCTGACCATTAGGTCCAGTCATGGCCGACTCTGGGGTTGCGGCACTCATCTCACTTTACTGGCCAATGGACCTGGCGTACAGCTTCCGGGTCATGTGGCCAGCATGACTAAGCCGCTTCTGGCAAACCAGAGCAGCGCACAGAAACACCGTTTACCTTCCCGCCAGAGCGGTACCTATTTATCTACTTGCACTTTGATGTGCTTTCAAACTGCTAGGTTGGCAGGAGCTGGGACCAAGCAACAGGAGCTCACCCTGTCGCGGGGATTCAAACCGCTGACCTTCTGATCAGCTAGTCCTAGGCTCTGTGGTTTAACCCACAGTGCCACCCGTGTCCCTATAAAGGTGTATTTGGTCAAATACCTGACCAGAGCTCAATGGTAGAGGATATGCATTGAAAGCTGAGGTTGCTGAAGAAACCAGAGACCATCTTGGCAGTGAGTCCTGGAAGACCTGCTCCCTGCCTTGCAGGCCTTTTCCCACCTGGCCTGGGAAGGGAGGGCCTGGACTGACTCCAGCTACAAAAGCTGAGTTCACAAAACAGACTCTTGGGCTGGGGTATTGTTTACAGGGGATGTTGTTGGGGCAGGGCATTGTTGCTGTTAGTTTTTTATATCTTTATTTTAGAACTTGTGATTTCTATGGAAATAGTTCCTTTCAGTTGTGTATTTTTTTGTTTTATTTATTGTTTATAATTACTTTTGTTATGTTGTAGTTACAGGCATCCTCCCACTTAGGTGGGGTTTATGTTCTGGGCTCCATGCACATAACTGAAATAGCATAAAGCGGGGAGCACCTCATTTTAATAGGGAGAGCATGCGGGGAAGGAGGGAGGGAGGGAGGGAGGGAGGGAGGGAGGGAGGGGGAGAGAGAGAGAGAGAGAGAGAGAGAGAGAGACTCAGACACACATGTGCCACCAGGGCGGACCTTCCTTCACTTGGGGCTGCTCCTCCAAGCCTTCTCCAATCCCTCACATCACAACAAGTGAGTGACCAAGAGCAACTTCTGGGCAGCAGCCCCGAGCAAGGGAAGGCACAGCATTTCAATCAATTTATTTATTTCGTGGCGA